AGTTCACAGATCACAAGCGTTCTGTAGACCAACAGCTAGTGAAGGTGATGCGAGCAGCAGTTTGAATATATACAAACTTATGTCTCCCCACCATGACAACGAGGGTTTTTGAATATATACAACTTCCGTCTCCTGACAACAATACACCACAGGTTATAACCGTGATTATGAATAAAAAGAGACAGATTTTGGTTTTTTAGCCCAGTGATTCCTAATGTGGGCTTGGGGGCGCCTCTAAAGGCCACAATGTGTGTTGAGGGAAACAAGAATACAATAAAGTACATACAAAATCCATACTGATTTATAAACTATATTGCGAATTTCAATAATTCAGTATTTTTTAATACATTATGTATTTCTTCTTTTGCAACTCTGGCATTAGTTTTTTGGAGATATTTTTGAAGGAGGCCAGTCCCTGTGCCTCTCAGAGTCAATGAAGGAGGCCAGTCCTGTGCTCTCCAGAGTCCAAGCAGGGGAGGCTCCAGTCCCTGTGCTCCTTCAGAGCTGGTTATATGTCACAGATGTACTTTGTGTGAGATCATGGAGAGACTTGAACACGACTCGGGGTAATATTGAAAAAGGCATTTAATGATAGTTTGTGTAAGATTTCACAGTCAATTCATTTACTTACTCCAGTGTTTGTCTATATATAGTCTTTATTTTCTATGTAATAGGACTAATTTAGTAATATATATATATTGTGATTGATGAGGTACCAAAACGATGTTGATGCCTCAGTTGCCGAGTCAGAGTAGGGAGATCCACCAACTGCAAACATCCCCAACCAGGTTTAGGGTACATAGCCCCAATGGAACTGATAACGCTGAACGAGGCAGCGACTACCGAAAGCTAAGATCCTGCTAGAATGGGCACAGGGCAAAGACACGGCTACAGCGGTTGTGTGAAGTACCACTCAAGGATCTCATAGAAGCTGTGAATGCAGCAGTGAGGGCTGTTACTACCACCACAATCACTGAAACAATGGAGCTGTTATACACTCAGCAGCAGTGATCCTAGAGAGCTTGGCTATAAGAGCAAACCATGGGAGCCTCATGGACAATACCCACCATGGAAAGACGGTTGGAGGCTAAGATCAAGGCGGCTCGGAGAGAGTGAGTAATTAACAGGAGGCCAGAGAGGTGCAAATGAAAAGACCAGTACCAGTAATGTACAGCCAGATGACCATACTGAATGCCCTGAAAATGCCAACAAAGGCTCAAGCCCTGGCCGACGCTCTACAGAGGTACACTAAAGAGAATGAAGCCAGAAGGGTGAAACAGGCTGTGCGCAACACATAACCTGCGAAGGTGTACGCTCAGTGGCAGGTAACAACAGGGGAGCAGACCACCGAGGCTGGGAAAGCTGAACAGTTCTGGAAGAACATTATGGAGATGGATGCAGCAATACAGAAGTGAAATGGTGGTGTCCCTGAGAGAGGAGCAACAGCACCTCCCTGAACAGAACCTCTGTTACCTTCACTGAGGCAGACATCCGAGAAAGAGTTCTCAGGTATGAATAAACTGGACAGCACCTGCCCTGATCATTGTCCATGCCTACTGGTATGGACACTCACATCAATCATGAGCGCCTAGCAGCACAAATGAACCAGCTGCTGAGAGATGGGATCATCCAGAATGGTTAATAGTGAAGGCGCTGACGGTCCCTGTCATGAGGGACCCTGTCAGGGTTGCAGTCCCCTCACATAATACCGGCCAATAACTGTCTCTCCACAACATGGGAAGCTATGTCTGGCATTCATTGCGGGCTAAGATAAGTGGGCATATGGAACATTCTCATGAGCACAGCACAGGAGGGCACTTGTTTAGGGACCACAAGAGGAGCCAAACACCCGCTCCTGGTTTGACAGAAAAGGCGCCAGTACTGTCCGGTCAGACACCACCAACCTGGTGCACAGCGGATTTGATTTACCAGAAAGCCTCGACTCAATGCCACATCACTTTGGCTCATGGAATGCTTTGAAGATTGAGTACAATTTCAAAGGGCTCTAAGGGACTTCGTTGCAAACTCGATGGGAATGTGGAAGACCTCCCTTGAGGCAAATGGCATAGCGCTCGCACAATGTGACCATCAAATGTTGGTATCTACCATGGAGATGCTTCGTCCCCACTACTGTTCTGCATAGGCCTCAACCTCTAAGCCAAGTTAATTGACCAGACTGGCTATGGTACCGCCTCAGGAACAGCAGCAAGATCAGTTCACGCTGTCTTACTGGATGACATCAAAAGTACGGCCAAGAGCGAGAGAGCCATCGACTCTCTGATTCCAAACAACCGAAGGATTACCGCCAAGAATCGGGATGTCATTCGGACTCGAGAAATGTAGCAGGATGGTGGACTCGGAGAGGAAAGGTAGTCCACACAGAAGGGATCTCACTCCAGAGGGGAACTAATAGCCGACGTTGAGACAGTTACAAGTTTCGGTATACCACAGGAAATGGCACCTCAGAACATGGTGACGTGGAAAGCGGCAACTGCACAAATACTCCAGCGAGTGTAAGGCAAGGTCCTAAGAAGCGGCTCAATGGCAAGAACAAGGCCGGGCAATTAACAGCTACCGCCCCTGCAGTGATCTGATACCCTGCAGGAATATCAGGTGGCCAAAGGAAGAGATTCAGACCACGGATGATGTTAAACTCGAAAGTTCCTTACCATGCCATGGCGGGTTCCATACCCAAATCCTCTGCACCCTGAGGACTGTACGGAAGCGTAAAGAAGGAGGCGGAGACTGTGAGTGTGACTAGGTGACTAGTCCTGGACGAAACATCCAAACTCCATAACTACATCATGGATGAAGGCCAAAAACAACAAAAAAATAACGGGATGACGTACTCATGTGAATGGACTCAGGCAGTGGCGAGTATGAGGAGGTGCTGGAGGAGAGCCCTTCATGGGGAGAACAAAGGCCCCTACACGGCATGTACCACGGAGCATAACAGAAGTGGCTGGATCTCAAGATGTCCTACAATCCTGCAGAAAGGGGCTGGCCTACAGCGACAGCACAGAGTGCGCTCATCATGGCTGACACAGGAACAGGCATCAGAGCACCAGAGCCGGATAGAGGCCCAGATATACCACACCAGCAAGACCCAAGGTGTCGGTTGTGCAAAGAGGCACCTGGAGACAAATCCAAAACACTAAACTGCAGGGCTGCAAGAGCTGGCAGGGAAGGCCTACATGGATCGCCAATAACCAAGTGGCTGCATAGTGTTTACAGAAACATCTGTGCAGATTATGGGCTGGAAACCCAAGGTCTATGGGAAACTCCTCCAAAGGTGGTGGAGATGATGAGCCAGCTGCGAAGATCCTGTGGGACTTCCAGATACAGACCGACCAAATGGTAATGGCGAAACAACCGACATTGTGGTGGTAGGACAAAGGGCTGAGGACCAGCCGTGGTGGTGGATGGCAAATTCCAAGTCGATGGTAACATCCGGAAAAATAAAGATCATGAAAAGCTGAGAAATACCAGGTCTCAGAGAGGAGTGGAGGAGGGCTGGAGGGTAAAGGTGACAGTAGTGCCGTGGTGATCGGTGCACTCAGGGCAGTGACCGAAGCTTGAAGAGTGGTTACAGCGGATTCCGGAACAACCTCGGACATCTCGGTTTCCAGATATGTGCAGTGCTTGGAACAGCAAAGATACTGCGCAGAACCCTCAAGCTCCCAGGCCTTGGATAGAGGACCCGAGCGCTAGAGAGGGATAAAATCCGCTCCGCCGGAGGGCCAAAGGTGAGTGGACAAATTTTATTATATATACATGATAATTAAATGTGAGGGAGTTATACCTTGTTAAACCTAACTAAATATCTAAATTTTTTTTTTTTTTAAATAAAAAAAAAAAAAAAATACCCATAGCAACACACTAATAAAAGAGTCAGATTTGGTTTTAGCCCCCAGTGCCTTCCCTAAAGTGGGGTTTGGCGGCGCCTCTACAGGGGCCACACATGTTGGTGTTGAGGAAACCAAGAAATAAACAATAAAAGTACATACAAATGAAAACAATGTCACGTTTTTCATAATACTGATTTATCAACTGATTGTTTAACGAGTTGGTGTAGACAAATTAATACAAATGTATATACATCAAGTTCAGGCTGTGCTGATGTGAATAGATTCATGGTCATACACAGTAAAAATAGTTAAAATATGTCCATGTAATAATATGTATCATGTCGTAATAGTTGTTGAAAAAAATAATGTATGCAATGTTGTTCTGATGGCTTAGACTTTCTGAGAGAGGAACCTTTCAGAGAAATTGGACCCGGTAAACGTAACTAATTTCTAGTTGAACAGGTCGGAAAAGTTGTCTCCTGGAGTACATTGAAATTTTTGCTTATTTCATCCTTCACGTCCAAACCACAAGGTAGTTTTAACTCATCTCACTCTTTTTTGCTTTTGAGAACCATGTATTTGTTTGACTTCTTGGGTCTGTGTGTTGTCCTGACGCCCTGTGTCCACACGGACACAGCTAAGCTCACGCTAGCACCACCATTAGCTTTCCTCGCCAATAATAATGATCAAATATACACATTAGCTGTTATATAACTGTGCTTCAACCCTCTATGATTTTTAATCAAGTTGTTTGTATTGAGTGTATTTACAAGTGTGCCTATCTTGCAGCATGAAACAGTTGATGGATTGGTTATGATGAATTATATAGTGGTTCATATGTTTACCTCTTGCACTTGTTCCACAGAATAAGTGCAGAGTTTTTCCTGATGAATGTTTCAATAATGCACATTATAAGATGTTTACCTCAAAGCTGCTTCGTATCGGGCTGCTAGGCAGAGTGACAGGTGAGGTCTCTTTTCTTATATTCCTCTTTATGTTTCCATACATAATTGTTGTTTTTATTGGCTGTTCTTTCTCGTCTCAGGTTCTATACAATATAGTGGGACGCCCTCTGCATCGGCTCATTCCTTCTTGCACTTTAGAAACATAGCTATTTCGACTGCAGCAGATAAACACTACGCCTCCCTCACGATGGGTGCGCGGAGCCTGAGCGTTGAGGGGCGTTGGTTCCTCGGTAAGCTGTCCGTGAGTCCTTTGGAGAGCTTGGCTGTCTCTACGCTACTCCCTCCCTGCTTAGGCCCTGGAGCCTACCCTGGCCCAGGAGGAGGCTGAACGGCTAGAGGAGTAGGTCCTTTTTCCACCAGGGTCTGTTCCAGTGCTGGTGGATGACAGCGGGTCGGCGCACCTCTCCGCTGTAGATATGTGTTGAAAATTCCGTCGAGGGAAGATGTGATACCGACACAAATACAAAAGCTTCCTAAAGCGGAGGAAGTTTGTGAGGTGGGGGAGTGTGGTTGGGCAGAGGCAAAAAAGAAACAGGTGAGCATTCACTGTGGCAGTCACTTACAAATACATATTTATGCCAAAATGGTCTTCATCAAGGCAACTACATATAATTATAAAATCTCACTTTTTATATTTTGTTGCTTTTAAGGTTGCCATTCAATGAAGTTACCTTTCAACTTGCAGAAGAAATTTGAAAGCGATTCTTCAAAGAGACTTTGGAGGAAAAAGCTGGCTAAAAAGCGGGCCCCAGAGGGATGGAACACCCAAAAACTCTTCATTATATACAACAAGGAAATAATAAGACTCGGTCATCGACCAAACACTTCAACACGCTATGAACAAAGTGATGATTTTATGCCCTTTTCAAATAATTAATATTCCTCAATCTGTTCAATATTTAATACTCAAGGTGTTAATGCTGAAATAATAAACAACTGATTCTTAGATCTGTTTGGAGCAGTTTCACTTTTACACAGTATGATGGCAGTGTTTACCACAAGATATGTTGCATGGGACACTTTCTTTGAAAAATCGATTTAATTTATAAATTTCATAATTTCTATGTTATAGTTATTTACGGTTACTTACTGTGGCTTGAACAGAATAGAAAAAAAAAGAAGTACAATTCCAGGAGACTACTTTCAATACTGCAACCCTGGGCTTCCTACGGACTCACATTTCCTGATTATAACTTGGTGCATACAGAGTTACTAGAGTTTGCTATATTTAAGAAACGTGGGCGATGTGTGTGTTGTTTAGTGCTTAGGCGGTGGATTCTCGGCAGGTAAACGTCAACTACTGCTTCGAGTTGCGTCTGTACTGGGTCCCGTGTTGGGTTTCAAGGTGGGAAAGGGGCGGAGACATGTGGACCGAGGATAAAATAAAACTGCTGGATGTGTTTGCAGCCGCAGCGCTTTGTGTCTCTGCGGTCTCTTGCTCTGAAGCCTCTGCAAAAGCCGCTCGCTATTGACAGAGATAGTAGAGAGATTCACAGTAAGTCTCTGCTGAACCACACTGGACTTTTGGTAAACGAGTGCATTTGTAGTTTACTACGAGGATGTCAAGTTTCCATGTTCTGCAGAATTGGACCCTTTTCAAACTTGTGGTTCCCATCAAATGCTTGTCTGCCTCAATAGTAAGTATTTTAAATGTATTTCTTGTGTGATCAAATCTTACCAAACCTGCTGTCTTTCTCTTTTTTATCTTTTGCATATTTGTTAAGGTAGAAAAGTCACTATTTGACGCTTTGAGCTAAGAGCTGATTGGCTGAGTGAGGTTCGTTTTTGGGGGTTTACAAAGTTGGTTTACCCACCCTACTTTAAGCACTTTTCAAACTTTTTTTTATAACCCACCAGGTAAAAATTTTAAAAGAATTGGAAACAAGAGCAAGTTTATGTCCTAAATACATTTTATTTCATTAATTAAAGGTAATTTTGGAACCCATTTCAAACTTTGATACATATACTTTTTTTCCTTACCTTTCTGTCAACTTTATACTTTTATATATATTACAAATTTCTAGAGTAAAATATGGTGTGTCCAACCATATTTAGTTTTTTTTCCTTTTGTTCTGTAGTGCGTTTATATATGTGTGTTGGGGATTGTATTTAAAAAATGCAATACTAAATAATGGTTATTAAAATACAAATGTTTTAGATTCCATGTATACTGTGAGCCCAGGCTGTTTCGTGCCTGTTGTGATGTGTTTGGGCTTTGTGGCACGGGCCCAATATGTTTTTCAGTTAAATGCGGGGTCTAAGATGCGTCAGCACAATCCTAAAGGCCTCATTACTGTTATGGTGGGGTGCTCACCACAGAAGGTCGCTTTGTGGGTGCAATTACAGCCCTGCACACCTTTAAGGATTAGGCTACTGTTCTAATGATAGAGTAAGAGGCTGTCTGGCGGCGTTCACTCCAGTATTCAGCCTACTATTGGTACATGCTTTATTCGGTTTATGTGGATCAAGGCTGTAAGAGAAGAACTTGTGTTTCTAGAGAAGAGTAGAATCCTCCAGGGACCCTTTCAATGGATTTTGTTGCTTTTAGCTGATACTGCACTGTTGATCATGTCTGTACGCAGTGACTAAGCTGTGAGCAACTTTTGTATTTCCCCCAATCACATCCGTTAAAAGCTGCTGAGAGAGGGAGGGTGAGGACATAAACAAAGGTCCAATATCTGGAATGTAAAGGAGAAATGTGATGCATTATTTTGGCCATTACAAAGATAATGGGAATATTCACTTAGTCATTATATTCATCTGAAATTAATCTGATTAAAAATGCTTCCCGCCTGTAAACGCCCCATGCCACAGACCAGGGCAGGGAGTTAAATTAGTTTAATTCTTTTCCAAATTTGAAAAAGTATCAGGAGGACATTTCCATTAAGAACTTGACAACCACTGAGTTTGTGGCAATACTTTTGTTTTAAAGAAGACATTAACAATATCTTTTGGATAATTAAACATGACAATGAGACTTTTTTTTTATTATTTCACGTTTTAGAATGCAAAATAATTTCTTCGTCAAAAATTTACGGTATGAAGGGGTGAACAATGCTATCAGCCTGCCCTATCTCTAGCTACCACAAGAGGGAGGAGTTGAATCTGCGTTCCTATTAAATACAGTAGATGTGTGTGGTGAAAATGATTTTTTGGGTTTGTGGACGTGATCGTGATTAATGTAATCAAGTAGAGGACATTGAAAAAACTAATATAAGGGAAAGTACTTTAGTTTAAAATGCAGGAAAATTGCTCTGAATATGATGTTCTTAGTTCGTTTCCTATTGACATCATACTATGACAGGATCTTTTTGTACAGAAGGGCTCGAGTTACATGTTTTGGACAGTAGTTCCCAATATCTACTTTCGATGGATCTAGAAACGACTCTAGGTCTGCTTTGTGAGTATTACAATGTTGTTTCATGGTTAAATGGCACCTCTCCCCTGGCTCCACATACTGTTTAGGTGAGTGTAAACGGGACCTCCAGTTTCAAATAGCTGCTTTGTCTAATTGCAGGTAATTGGTTAAATGTGTGTTATTATGCTGCGCAGCTCAAAAGCACATTGTTAAGTCGTCAACATTTGGAACACAGCCTTTGAGGTCATCAGCTTCTGGAGGAAGGCAATGGGGCAAAATTACAGGGTCTGCTACTCTTGGTTTTACCTCCTCTTGGAAGAAACGATCTCCAGCTAGAAAAACACCAGATTGAAGACTTTTTCTGGTCTGCAACAATGATGTCGCCACGAATGGGAAAAGGCCACGATATGTTTGTAATATGTCTGTAGATTGATATAACATCGGGATTGAGAAATGTTTGACTTTCAGTATTATTGCATCATTCCTCATGCAGCTCAAAGAAAGACAAAACACATGAAGAAGAAATATTGTTATCGAGGCACATTTATATAAGAAGACTTTTGTTACTCCAAAGCTTGTTTGAGTCTTCCCCTTTGGAGTATAACAAACAACAGCTCTGTGGGAAATATATGACTATTAACTGACTATTAATTGAAATCTTTTTTAGTTGAGCTCCTTGTAACTTCTGGCTTAGAAACCTACTAGACCTCTAAATCACTTGTTTTAACAGGCAGGTTACAGTATATTTGGCTTCTGTCAGATCTTTTCAACATCTTTGTCAGACAGAAAAAGGTATAAGAGAGGATCACCCTTTCCTCTGCTCAGCTCAACAGTGTCAAAAATTAGTTGAGTCAGGCTCTTTCTTATATATAAATGGCATGTAATAAGGTGGTTTCAATAATATAATAAGACGGCTAAGACTAACATTTGCTCACACATTTCAAGTCCTTCTTCCTGTTGGGACAAAAAACATGTATTTATGGACATAAAAAGTTAGGTGCCGCATCTTTAAGTGCATTTTGTTCTCTCCCTCTAGAGGTTGTGGCAACACCGATATCATGCTGTGGACCTAGTGCGCTCTGAGGTCAAAATATCAACTCTTCAACTTCAGCCAATTTCCAAAAGATTTGATTACTACAAAGCATTTACAACATGTTGAGTTTTAGTTTGAGGCTAATGTTGGGTTGAAATTTCAAATATATTCATGCTGTTTTTTGTCTTCTCTTTCAGTTTGCTTTGTTCTTTCTGCCTTGAGGTAAGACATCGACCTCAACCAACTCATTATCGCTATACCATTCTTACCCACGCATGTATGACTTACAATATTTTCAAAATTACAACAAAGACTTGGCATATGTGACTTTGCTTGTGATGATCTCCTCTGGGGTGTACTGGTTTCACATTTTCAACGTGGGAATTACAGAACAAGTATTCTATAATATCCGACCTTGTTGACCGGATCTCTTCGTGCAGCCGCCCCACTCTCTGGAACTCAACTCCCTCAACGGAATCAGAAACTCAGACTTTACTTACAGAACTGTAAATCTCTTCTCAAAAACCCTCTGTCTCAGCTTGCCTCCTTATTTTGTTTTTCAATGTTATTTCGAAGTGTTTTGTAAGCGTCTTTGAATGTCCATAAAGCACTATTTAAGTTTGGAACATTATTCTTTATGATTATTATGAAGATGTTTGGTCTGCTGTGATCTTTATCAAGGATCAATACAATACTACTACATAGACTCCCCCTTTCAGGTCATAAAGTCAATACATTTACTTCTGTTCCATGCGAGTGGACCCTGCACATGTGTTCATGTGTTTTCATGAGTGGGACTTGTATATATTCTTACAATAAAGGGGTTCACTGACTTAACTGAGTTGAATAAATCCCGGGTTTCGACTTTGAGTATTAATTTGACTAAAAAGAATATATAATCATGGAAGAAGAATTGTCCAATTCGATAACTGGATATGGATCTACAAATCTGTGGCTATATCTGGCTCGCCTATGATACCAGGGCTTTTTTATAACCCTTTAAATCTTGGATATGTCGTAATGTAATGCTTAAAAATGTGAACAATTCACCTTTTTTTTCATTTTTTTTATTCAAATCCCTCTCAAACCTACTCCACCTATATTCCTTTATTGGTTCCCACTGGGGGACATTTCAGAGTTGACGTGACCTGAAACAGAATGGGTGCACACAACACATAGATAAATGAACAATAACTTTGCACTAAAAAAAAATAAAATAAAATCTCTAACTTTTAGCTATAGTAAGGAAGCAAGTATAAAAAACTGTATGTTCTAGTGCAAGAAATATATTAGTGGTAATGCTAAAACATCTAAGTTAGCAGCATATATGGAGACAATGTGACAGTGGACAATGGTGTGGTTCTATATATCACATTCTGATATTATACACTAAATAATGTGTTGTTGTGGTGCAGTGCTGGGCCAGGGCAGCTGCTCCCGCCCCGGTGGGGGGTGGTGGAGGCCCGGGAACATCACCCTCCCGGCTGGCTCTCGGGCGTGCTTCACCTGCAGAAAGCCCCAGGATGGTGTGGACCCAGGTCAGATGAGGACTCCGGGCAGCGGCGTGGTGGCACTGGGACGTGGTCCGCAGACAAGCCCTTGAGTATTCTGTAGAGAGGGTCCTGGACATGTCCCCTGGAGCCAAGCAGCGAATTGGTCTACAACAGCTTCAACTAGGCCGAGTGTCTCTCTCTGAGGCAGGCCTTTAAAGTACGGGAACTTCTCCCTCGTCATAACAGTAAGACCACACATCAGTATTATATTTATTATTATAGATTATGTTTACAGTGTGCTGCTAATTACTCCAAAGTTTGACTCCTCAAGGGCCAATTTTATTATACATTTTTTTTTTCTTTTTTTGAAAAGACCACTAAACGGACTCCGGAATAACAGAAAGCTAATGAGCTGGCTAGCAATGACAATTTTTTTTTTTAGCAGATAATTACATAATGCCTTGATGGATATGAGGGAACAGGCTGAAGGATACCCTGAATCCAAGATATTGTGATTTTGTATGGCCTCATCTTTCCCATTTACATAAACACCACACGGCACTATAGAGTAAAATTTATTTAGTAAATGATTTTAGCTTTTTTAGGTTGATTGTAGGAGTATTTTTAAAAACAAGGGTGTTTTGCTTGTAAAATAGAAATATACTATCAGCCAGATACTGTATGTTAGCTATAATCCAGAAGGAAAGGAACCGGCAGTTGAGGATATGAAGAGAACATTTGAAGGATTTTAGGAAACATTCGGACATCTGAAGTAGATGATCGATTGTACGCTAATTGGGTGAGATTACAGCCAACAAGAAACAGCGTAAACATGGAAACCGCCCTCTATTGCCAAGTCTTAGCATAAATAATGGTTTTAAGTTTTTCAAGTGCTTCTCGCCAGGAAGAGAAGATCGTCAATGAAGGGAAGCTCACAAAGGGAGGAGAGCATTTCTGTTCGTTTGAGTTCGAATGGGAAAAGATGATTACCATACATTTATATCAGTCACATGATTCCGAAATGTTCATTGTATTCTGCTTTATTGGATTTTGACCTGAAATGTTTTTACCAGACGTGGTTTGACGACTGACAAAGGAGTCTCACTGCAACCTGCCACACACTACTGCCAGGTCACCGAACATCCAGATCCTGCTCAACGTCACCAAATCAGGTCCAACTCTCAACTTCTACGACTCAAGTCAAGAGTCACGTACACAAGGGACTACATCAGGGTTACTCATTAAAAACACAGAAATTGAAGTATTTAGTACAAAAACATGGAAATTGTGGAAAAGATTATTAGGACCAAAAATCACTTAGATTTTGTTATTTGCCAGTGTCATTAATAGACTGATGATTTTGATTTAATTTTACTGAAGACAAATCTACAAAGAAAAATTTAAGTATCTTAATGCTGGAGTATTTTTATTTCTCACTAAAAAATAAGAACAAAGCCGATCACAGCATTCTGAAGTTGTGTTATATTATGCATTACTGGTAAGAAAATTGCCCTGTTGAGTCTCAAATTGACGAAATGAGAGTTGAGATTGAGATGGGCTGAACTACTTGTTTTAGCTTTCTGGTCTGAATAGCCTGCCAAAAAAACACACATGTACATACTGATAGAATGTTTTTAGAGTTAGGAACTAGTTGGATCGGATTTACTAATAAATCCAGTTCTCCATGTTTGGTACCCCTGCTTTGGTACAATTATATTTAGTTTTTTTGATGATGAAGACGTGAAGAGAAGACAGTTATCCAAAGTGAAAACTTAACTTACAGATATAAATCTTATCCAGACGTAAAGAGAGGCGGTATGGGACGGGGAGTAGACGTGCTGGTGGTGTTATGGGGGCTGCTCGGTGGTGCTTCCATGTGTGAACGGCGCCCCCTTTTGTGGCGGCCGATGGGGGTCCAGGAGGAGCAGCAGCAGGGGCTCACTGTGACTACCAGGCTCCGGGAGGGAGACCAGACCGGGCCGACGCGCCTGGTGGACCTGTTGCGTCCGGTGTGAGCGCAGGGACTAGGGTCCGCTTCTTCCGCCAGCACAAGATGAGCATGACCCCGATGCCTTCACTCTGGGGGGACTTCTCTCCGTTCCTTTGCGGGGAGCTGTGTCCCGCATAGACATCGGCCTGTACTCCTGCTTCCTCCACCACCACACTAGCTGCGGGATTACAGGAGGGCGCCATTCTTTAGGCTCACCGGTGGGACCCCGACTGCAGCCTCGGCCTCGACCTCACGGCCCCCATCCAGATGCAACGACCTGCGCTGAACCAAATAAGACTACATCCTAATATTAACCCTTATGGGTTTCCTTCAAACATTTGGTGGATCCCTTTTTGCGTCGCTTGTTGAGTCCACTATAGCAGGGGGTGCACTTAACCTTTTTCAGTGAGGTTCTCGATTGAGTATAAGAGATGGTGTTTTGGTACTAACTCCCATTTGTCGCCGTTGGGTTTTAATGGAGATTTTATACTTGCTTCTTTTTAATGTGAGTTTAGGATCAGCTCAGATAATCCAATCAAGTCAAAATAATGACTCACAGGGATCTTTCTTAAAAAATGCAAAAATAAAAACAACAATGTTTGGTTGATTTGTTTCACAACATTTTTTATTTTGAGCACAAACCAACATTATTATGCATTATTAATGCATAGGCTACATGTATATGGTACCACAGCTGTAGATAACACGGGTGTGGCTCATGGGACACTCCTTAAGGCTCCAGTGTCCAGCTCTGTTTTCAGTAAACATTATGTTATTTATTTATTTTGCGTTACGCAAAGACACACACATGCAACAAGCAGAGAACTGGGTCCGTGCTTGTGTACATTAGTCAAGGAGCCGCTGTCATTACAAAGCAGCCGGAGTGGCTCTCTGGAGTCAGAACGCTGCTGCCACGGAGGATTTGGAATCCTGTTCAACGTACGTTCAGCAAACAGCAGCAAGTGCTCCGCGATCCGCACACCTCTCTGGCATTGCACAACAACCCCCTAGGGAGGACTGGTCTATGGTTCCAGTGCGCTACTAAACTCAAGTGGGAGTAGAGGGAGGAGATAGTATGCTTTGCTGATATTTGTCGCGCATGCGTCCTGTTTACCCTTATGTGCACCACTGATATATCTACGTGAGCTTGGAACTGAAAAATCTACTGATTGGGGGATATCTTTTTCACTTGGTTTTAGGCACTTTTTTACCATTAAGCTGCATCTCAACCATTCATCATACTCTACATCTTAGAAAAAAAACAAAAATTTACCCAATCCCAAAAAAAACCAAAGTGATAATTGCTTTCTGTCAGATGTGAACATACATGCGTTAAAGGCCTCATATGCTCTTGTATTTATCCCCTTTTAAAGCTGGGGTTTCTTCTCTTTATGTTTCATACTCTATACATCTGGTTTGACCCAACAGTACAAAAATTTAGTTGTGACAAAGTCCACCATGCTGTCTCATTGTACCTTTAGAAAAATTGTTTGATAGTAAAGAGCGCTTTGAGGTCACATTTTGACGGTTTGCGTCTGAGAGTGGATTGGAGCTTGGTTCTCTCTTTTTCTGTCTGGAAAAGAAACCAAAACTCAGGACCACGGAACTAGTTACATGGATTTAATATATAATTCATAATTTTTGTTTGGTGAAAGTTGGGCGGTACCTAATTTTTAAACATTTGGAAGCAAAACTGTGGATCATGCACATCATCAAGAGAATAAACCAGGCTAATGGCACAGACGATTTTACTTTGCACCTGCAGTCAGTTACCATGTCACCCCACAGTGCCTTCCATTCAAAATTTATTCATCCTTATGTCATAACAGTGGTCGGGTGTTTTGGTTGATGTAAGTCCTCACGGCACTATGTTACACTCCTTATTTCACCAATACGTACTTAAAATAATATGTTTAAAGATTTGACACTTTTAAGGATGGTTCAGATGTATCTATGGGCCATCTGGTCACATAGGTTTTTATTAACGAACTCGGCCAAGTGGCCCGGGATCGTCACCAGGGTTGTGAAAACGGCCCTGGCGGTACGATTCTGTTTACATTCTGCTACTGTAGCTTAACTGCTCGAGTACGGATCGCGTTGTTTAGGGCAAAGAAACATCTCACACTTGTCCACATTACTCTGATTGCAAAGTGCAGCAGGTGTTTATCTGTGTGTGGTATGTGTGTGTGCAGTGTGTGTGTGTGCGCCGCGGACATGACGGCGCCGCCTGTGTGGCGTACAAACAGGAGCGACCGGAGCCAGGCAGGATACAAGTGTGGGTTGGTGTGTGTGCCCGGATTAAAAGATTGATTCCTGATGTCTGAAGTGTTATTGCAATAAGCACCACTCTGTGAGAGCGAGGGTCAGAACAGAGGAGATAGGGGCGGTTTGAAAAAGAAATTAAGGGGGGGAAAAAAAAAGGGGGGGTGGGGGAAAAAGGGGGGAAAACGGGGGGGATAAGGGGGAAGGGGAAATAAAATAAGGGAGGGGGGGAGGTAAAATACGAAAGCGGGATAGGTGGGAAAAATATTACTGTGTTTTTTTTTTAAAGGGGGGAAAAAAAAACCAAATAAAGAAAAGGTTTGGGGGGGGAAAAAATAATCAAAAAAAAAAAAAAGGGGGGGGGGGGAATAACAAGGGCAAAATGGGGGGAGGGGGGTTGGGGTGAAAAAAGGGGGTTTTTTTGAAAGGATAAAGAGGGTGGGGGGGGGAGAGGGGGGGGGGGTGAAAGGGGGGCAAAAAGGGGGGGGGGGGAAGGGGGTGGGGGCAAAAAGGGTTAAAATAAAGGGGGGGGGGGAGAAGGTATACATACCCAAATGGAAGGGTACAAAAAAAAAAAACTAGGGGGGGAACAGGGGGAAATAAGAAAAATAAACGGGGGGGGAAGAAAGGGGGGGGGAAATAATAGGGGGGGGGGGGGGGGGGGGGGAGGGAAAAAAAGGGGGGGGAAAGGGGGGGGGGGTTAAAAAGGGGAGGGGGGAAAAGGAGAAAGGGGGGAAAAAAAGGGGGATGAAAAACCCCCACTCAAAATAACAAAAAAAATAAAATAAAAAACATAACCCCCCCACCAAATAAAAAAAAATAATGGGGGGGGGGGGGGGGGGGGGGAAAAAAAAAAAAAAGGGGGTGGGGGGGGTAGGGGGAAGGGGGGGGTGTGGGGGGGACAATAAAAAAGGGGGGGGGGGAAAAACGGGGGGGGAAAAAAAAAAAAAGGGGGAAAGGGCAAAAAAAACATAAGGGGGGGGGTGTGGGGGAAGGTGGGGCGGGAAATAGGGGGGGTTTGGAATATATGGGGGGAGGGGGTATAATGGGGGGGTTTTAAAAATAAAATAATAATAACTTTTTTTTTTTCCCCCCCCCCCCCCCGGTAGCGGGGGGGAATAATAACACACAAAATAATAAAATGATAAACCAAAAAAAATAAAAAAAACACTTAAAAAAACAAAAAAAACTTCAAACTAAAAAAACTAAATCAAAAAATAAAGGGGGGAGGGAGGGGGATGGGGGGGATGAAAAAAACAAAAAAATAAAAAAAAAGGGGGGTGTGGGGGTGGGGGGGGGGGGGGGACTCGACCCAAAAAAAAGCGACCATAGCCATATTCCTTATGCTTTGTATTGGCATGGCCAATACTATAGCGATCGCCAATTCACGTGCCACTCCCCCTTATGCGTTTGGCCCCCGGATTTTATTTGCGGGGCCCCCAGGCAAAAAAAAAAACTCTAGCCCTCATAAAAATTAAATAATGGGGGGTGAAGAAAGAATTAATCCGCAACTGGAATATGAGGGCATATATGGATTTGGTGTGAGATTCAGGTGTTATGGGGGGGTTCCGGTGATGAAAAAAAAAAAAATTGGGGGTTGTGGGTGGGAGGGTGTTCCAGCGGCCCACCCCCCCCGTACCCCCCCCCCCCCCCCCCCCCCTCCCCCCAACCAATATAAACTCACCCCCCAAAAAAAGACCCCTCCGCCCCCCCCCCCCGCCCCAACCCCCCAAAAAAAAAACCACCCCCCCCCCGACCCCCCCCCACCCCCACCTCCGCCCGCGTGTAGCATCTCCCCCCCCCCCCCCCAAAACAGGGGAATAAAACTCCCCCCCCAACAGAAAAAGCCTTTTCCCCCCCCCCCCCCCCCCCCCCCCTGGAAAACTTTTTCCGGGGGCCCCCCCCCCCGGACCCTTGTTAGTTGATATAATTGTTCCTACTCCTACAATGATAGGAGGAAAAACTCAAAAGGGTTCCCTTTGGGTTTTCTGATGCAACAATGGTGCTCGCTAAAGTTTTTATTGTTTAAATGCCCCCAACCAGTGCGCGGTTTAGGAGGGGCCAGCACATTCACTTTCCAAAAAGCAGTCAATGGTCCCAGCTTCTTGAAGGCCAGGAGCTCCCGGAGTGTTTCCCTGTTATACTAGGGGGGACACTCCCCACAACCACGAAAATAGACCAGTCCCGCCCACAAACCCAGAATGGGGAGGGGGAGGGGGGGGCCCACCGGTGAGGATGGGCGTTGGGGGGCACCTGGGGGTTGTAGGTGCGAAATCAGGGTGGACAGCGACCTTTGGTAGAAAATGATGGCAAGTGGGTCATTACAGATGCAGACCGCGAATGGAACAACGGGTTGTGGACGGGGGAGGATAGCATGGATGTTAGAAAATAGGCAAAACAAATACCAGGACCGGCTTAGATTATTTGCCAAGAGGGCGGGGGATAAGGGGGGGCGAGGAGTGAAAATTGGGGACAAGTGATTTTACGCCATGTCTGTAGGTTGGTTACAGGGGGGGGGGGGGGGGGACCCGGTTCCTTCCTGAAAAACGGGGGCGCATGGGGGGGGTACTTAATGAATAGAACCAGGGCAGGAGGGTTGGCTCCTTTCCTGGAGCAGGGAGATAATGATTTTATAGTCGCTTCGCCATCACAACTCCTTTTCCCGTGTTGATAATGTTTATAAAAAAACTCACATATTTTGTGCCTGAGATCATTTAATCAGTGATAAATTTTACCAGAGGGCATCGGTTAATCCCACACCACCTTCAAGGCTTGGGAATACACTAAAATTGTTAGTGGCTGTCTCTTGTGTCCAATGTGGGGAGGGCACCCAAGAAAAGACACATGGCTAGGGCCTTGAGTTTAATTTAAAAAGAAGAAAGAGGGCAACCAATTTTTAACAATATACCCCACCCAATGGGAATTCCGGGTCAAGCGTAAGGAGGAAGGCATAATATTATTAAAAAAAAAACATAAATAAAATATTACACACGCCGCGGCTTGCGCTCATGTCATTACGCTTGGTGAAGTGTGGGGGTAACAGGTCACAGTGGGGCCCATGCCGGGGGTTCTTCACGTTCGGTTTTTTAGGGTCTTTTCCGGCGCGAGGGGGGGGGAAAGTAATTTATCGTAACGGGGGGGTGGAGCCAGGTTTTTGATCAGGGTGTCGGGCCTAGTCCATATTTCAGTGGCAATAACACACGCCTCAACCCCTCGTTCCAGAAGGGGGAGCGCGTAGTTGTGGGAGCGTAAGTTGGTTCATGTGGCGGTTGGTTTTTGGTCTTTTGGAGCGGGCAATTGAACTTCTATTTGCGGTTGCGTATTGGATTGGAGGGCCTTTGAGGCCTCCAAGCACTCGGTTGGGCTGTTGTGCTCGGGGTGTTTGGGGGCTGGTGTGGCGGGTGTGGTGGGGGGGGGGACCATGGCGTGAGCACGTCCAGATTTCGGCCAGGGGCCCAAAGCTTTCTTTTTGTATGGGAGGACCCTCATGGACAGCCCCCCCAACGCCGTCCCACCATGTGGAGTTTGGGACCTATTCAGGTACGATAAAAACTGCTAGGGTTGCAGGCCTCCTCCATCTCCCAACTTCCTTACCGGGAAACACATCCGGGGGAGCGAGGGGGGGTGGACCCAACCAAGGGGGGGGGGGCACTTCCCTGGGCAGAGCTTTTCTTTCTATATCCTCGGCACTTATTATTGGACCAGAGGGAAGCAATAGCTCTGGGGAGGAAATCTGTTTGGAAATAGGGGGCTGGCTAGCTTTCTGACATCCTTGGGACTGCGGGCTGGGAGCAGAGACGCTCAGGTGCTCTTCATGGCTCCCAAGTCCTTACGGATCCGGGGGGGCTGGCGGGGCGAGCTTGGGCCCAAATAGGGGTGGTCCAGCGGTGTAGCCCTTCGGGGGATCATAAACGCAGGGGATTCCATATGGGTGTTGTTTGGTGGCCTTGCTTTCACGGGCACTGGTGGCCGCATAGCACCACCTGCCCCGCACCCCCCCCCCACGGACCTTCCCTGTTTTCCATCGTTGGGATGTCCGGCGGGAATCCCTTATTCTCCCCCCTTACTTTTCCTTTTTCCTCCTCCGTTGTGGATTGGTCTGGTTTGCGAAGGAGCATTTCTCCACGACACGGCTCACCCTTCCTCCTCGGCATGGACCCCCCACCGAAAGTCGGGACTCGCCCCGCCGCTTCCCCCCCGTGCACAACACCGGCCCCCCCCACCCCCCCCACCCCCCCACCCCCCCCACCCCCACCCACCGTCACCCGGTCGCGACCTGCCCTGGGGGGCCCCCGCCCCCACCACAAACAACCCCCACCCCCACCCCCCCCTCCCCCCCCCCCCCCCCCCCCCCCCCCCCCCATCCCCCCAACCCAAAACCCCAGCCCAGCAATACCCCCTCCCTCCACCCTAGCCCCGTTCCCGAGGGGGGCGGGGACCCCCCCCTTTGGCCCAACTTTTCCCCGCCAAAGCCCCGGATTCCGGTAAAGGGCTTTGGGGAGCCTTGAAATGGGGCCCTGAGCCTCTGGCTTCAATGCCTGCAGCCAATGTATGCAGGCAGCTGGCTTTAGCTCCCATTTGCCCAAAATGAATTTCTACAGAGTTGTTTCCTACTGGGCCATTTAATGCTCAGGATTTTTTGGATTGCTTTTTGCTGGAAAGTGCCCCCCTTGGTGCTCTTTCGTCTTTTTTCCCGGTGTGGTTCCGAGGGAGGTGGGAGTGGAGGGGGGGTGCTCTACAGGTTCTTTGGATGAGGGGGGCACATGGTGAAAGCAGTGCTGAGTCCTTTTTTTGAGGTTTCCTTTCCCATTTTTTCAATTGAGCTTTAGGGGCCTGGGCCGATCCTGGGGGATGCGTGCTTCCAAGCCAATGGGTTCGCCCAACACCCCCAAAAATATAACCCACGTAGGCCACTCTTGCCCCAAAAACCGAGTGTGATGCGGCCATGGGGGCTTCAACGGGCAAAAATTATTGGGGGAGGTCTTGCCGCCTCCAAGACGACCTTACCCATTCGCCCAATGACCCACTAACGCTTTCCATACACGCTCATTTAGGGGAAGCGGTGCTCCCCCACTGACATGCGAGGGGACGGTGGCCTAAACTCTTCTGCTTCGTGTGTATTTTCACTCACGCGGATAAGGGACTTACCGAACGTAGGGACCGGCTGGGGCCCTTGGGGGACTGTTATTTGCTAGGCCCACCCCCACTTGTCCACTTTTTCCTTTTCCGTGCTGTATCCGTGTATATTATGTTAATATTTTTTGCTTCTCTTAGCGGCTCTGTTCCGGGACATCCTTTTGGTGTTATTTTTTATAATGTGGCTTCGCTTTTTTTTCTTTTTTTTTGGAATCAATAAGCATGTGGGGTTCTTTTGTTTCTGGTTCCCACTTTTGGGGACCAATGGGGTTTTGTTTTCTAGCTTCCGGGAGAAAGAAAGAAGCAGGAAAAGAGACAAAGGAAAAAATAAAATAAGAAGAAGGAATAGAGGAGAAGGAGAGAGCGACAACGAGGAGAAGGAGACAGGAGTGAGAGTGAGAAAGGAGGATAAGGAGAGAGGCAGGGGAGGCCCAGAAGAGATGACGCGAAAGAAGAAGAAAGAGACGAGAGGAAGAAAGCAGAGAAGGACGAAGACAAAGGAACGCGGAGACTAGGAGAAAGCGGAGAGGAGGGAAGAAAAGAGAAGGAGGAGAGAAAGAAGAAGAGGAAGAGTACTGGAGAGGGGAGGGGAGAAGAGACCCAGGGGGACAGGAGGAAGCGAGGAGTAGGAGAGGACAGGAGGAGAGGGAGGAGAGTAGAGAGAGAGAGAGGAAGGGGAGGAAAGAAGAAAGGCAAGAAAAATGAAAATGGAGAGAAGGGAGGAGCGGAAGAGGCGAATAGAGCGAGAAAAGGAACAGAGTGGGTGAGAAGAGAGAGGAGCGAAAAAGGAGAATGAAAAGAGAAAGAACGACAACGACAGAGAAAGGGAAGGAGAGGACAAAAAGAGAAGAGAGAAGAAAGGGGGAAGGAGGAATTAAACATAGAGATCTTATAGAGTTGAAGAAATATTAGATGGATAGGGGGGGGAGTGAAGAGAGGAGAAGGAGGAGAGAGAAGGAGGGGAAGGGGAGAGTGCTGAGAGGCAGAGGGGGGGGAGGGGAAGGAGAGGAGATGAGAAGTAATATAATAGGGAATAGAAGAACATGTGAGAGAAGAGGAGAAGAGACGGAGATGAGTAGAACGCAGAGAGGAATATAGAGAATAGAGCAGGAGAAAACTAGTGCTGAAAATAGGGGAGAGAGAATAAGGAGAGGAATATGAGAATAAAAGAGAATAAAAGGTAGAGGAAGAAGAATTAGGGAGGAGGGAAGGGAGAGATGAGAGAGCGGGCGGAATATAATAGGAGAATGAGAGGAAGGAAGAGAGAAGACAAGAGAGACGAAAAGAAGGAGGAATGAGGAAGGAGAACAGGAAGAGGGAGCAAGAGGATGGGAGGTAATGACGGAGCGGAAGAAACAGGGTAAGAAGGGGAAATGAGGAGAGAAAGCGACAGGAAGCGGGCAACAAGAAGAAGGGGAGAAAAGTAGAGGGAGGAGAAAGACAGACGGAGCAGAGAGGAAGAGGAAGTCGGAGAGTAGGGCCACAGAGAGAAAGGAAGGAGAAGTAAAGAGAGGAGGGGGCCGGGTTAAGAGCGGAGAGAAGAGATAGCGGAATTTTCAGAGAGGATAGAAATTAAAGAAGGGCGGAGAAAAGGGCCGGAGGAGAGATGCATAGAGGAGGAGGGCGACACCATGAGAGAAAGGGAGAGAGAGAGGAGGAAGAGATGAGCATAGAGACCTAGAGAAATTAGAACATGACGTAGTGCTTGGGTGTAGGGGGATAGGTGGCGATGATTGATGCAATAGATCCCCTGCATGAGAGACATAGCTGAAATCTCATCATAGTCTGTGCGACATAGATGCTATAGGCGAGAGAAGAGCTTGTAGGGTAGAACTAAGGCGAGGGAGAAAGAGAGAAGCGAGCGCGCGAGCGAGAGAGAGACAGGCGGGCGGGATGAGCGGAGAGAGAATAGTGCTAAAGGGATGGAGGACAGAGGAATAAGAAGAGAAGAAAAAGGGCAAGAAAAGCAGAAGAGAGAATATAAAGCAAGAAACGAGGGGAGAAATAGTGACCGACCGAATAGGAGGAACAAAGAAGAGACAAAGATGAGAAGAAGGAGAAAGAACGAGACAGGAAGTAGAAGGGAAGACGAGAGAGAAGAAGACGAAAAAGGGGAGAAAAGGGAGAAGCGAGAAAGAAGAGAGAGCGAGAGCGATGGACGAAGACAGCGCGAATGAAAGAAAGAAGGAAGAGAGGAGGAAGAAGAAGGGAAAGGAGGAAGAGGAGGGACAGAAGAGCAGAGGACGAAGAAGCGAAGAGACAGGAGAAGAAGAAACGCAAGAGACAAGGAGCGGGATAGCGAAGAAAGAGGAAAGCGAAGAAAGAAGAGAGGAAAAAGGAAGAGAGGCGGAGGGGAAAAAGAGAAAGAAAAAGGAGAAAGGACGAAGGAAGAAGAGAAGAGAAGAAGGAAGGGAAGAAGGGACAGGAGAGAGAGGACGAGAAAGAACGGAGAGAGTAGAGGAAGAGACGGATAAAGAGGGACGGGGCAGAAGAAATGAGAAGGAAGAAACGGAGGGGACGAAAAAGAGGGAGAGCTGGAGGGAAAAAAAAGAAAGAGAAAGAAGGGAGGAAAATGAGCCTTCGATGGAGGGAAGATGAGAGGAGGGGAGAACGCAGAGAAGGAAGAGACAAAAGGCGGAAAGGAAGAAGAGACGACGAAGAGAATAGAGACAGGAGGAAAGAAAGGAAGAGAAGAAGAGGGACAGGAGGAGAGGAAGAAGAGAAAAGACGAGAAGGAAGAAGAGAAGAAGAATGAGGAAGAAGAGAGAAGACAGAAAGAAAAGACAGAAGCTGACAGGAGAAAGCGAAGGCGGGAAGAGATACGAGGGGAACGCAGAGGAGGTGGAGAGGGTGGAGAGGTGGGGATGAGATAGAACGAGAGACAGAGACGACTCAGGAGTATGGCGGCGGAGGAGGCATAGGTGGAAAAGGAGGGAAGGGAGGAACGGAGGAGGAGATTAGAGGAGAGGAGAGGGAAGGAGGGGGAGGGAGAGGGGGGAGGATAGTAGAGGAGCGGAGGGAGGCGGTGAGGAGGAGGAGATATGCTTGTAGGTGGTGAAGGAGAGAGTAGAAGCGGACAGAAAGGAGAGGAGAGAGAGGGACCGGAGGAGGAGGAGTGGATAAGCGGACCAGGATAGAAGGACCGACCCAGAGGGAGGGGAGGAGGAAAGGAGAAGAGGGAGGAGGGGGAGGGCGGAAGGAAGGGAGGAGGGAGGAGGAGGAGGGGGCGGGGAAGGAAGGAGATAGTTAGCTATAGAGAGAAGAGATATTATTAGAGGGAGAGAATCCGGAGGAGATGAAGAGAGAACGAGGGAAGAAGGACAAGAGAAGAAGAAGATGACAGCCTCGAACCGCGACAGGAGGAACAGCCGAGAAGAGAGAGGACGAAGACAGTGAGAGAGGGACAGGAGGAGGGATGGATGAGGGGGAGAGAGAAATTAGAAGAGGAAGAGATAGGGAGATAAACGAGGGAGAGAATGGGGAGAGAATAGTGAGTGGGTGGAGGAATGGAAGGAAGAGAATGGGAGTGAGAGAAGAGCAATATAGGAGAGCTGAGGGGAGAGGAAGAAGAGGGACGAGGGAGGAGAAGGAGGGGACGCAGAAGAGGACGAGGGAGGAGAGCGAAGAGGGAGGACAGGGTTACAGAGGAGGAGGAGAAGAGGAAGAGGTGAGGGGAGGAAAGAGGAGAGGATGAAGAGGAGAGGGAGGAAGAGGTGAGGGAGGAAGAGCGAGCGAGGATGAAAGAGGAGAGGGATGAAGAAGGAGAGGGAGGAAGAGGAGAAGCGATGGGGATGAAGAGGAGAGGGAGGAAGAGGAGAGGGAGGAAGAGGATGAGGAGGAGGAAGAGGAGAGGGAGAGGAAGAGGAGGGATGATGAGGAGAGGGGAGGAACGAAGGAAGAGGGAATGAAGAGGAGAGGTCGGAGAGACGGATGAGGGAGACTAGATGGTACAGGGGAAGAGGAGACCCCGATGAAGAGGCGAGCGCGAGAGACAGAGGCGGGGAGTAACGAAGGAAGGCGAGGCGGAGACAGAGAGAGGAGAGAGGAGGAAGAGAAGGAGAATAGAGAGTGAGAGGGAGAAGAAGAGGACGAAAGAGAGAAAGGAGAAATAGAGAGAAGAGAGAAGATGAAGGAGCGGGAGAGAAAGACGGAGAGAAAGGAGAGGGAGAGAGAAGAGAAGAGGAGAGGAGGCACGAAGAGAGAGGGAGGAAGGAAGAAGGAAGGAAGAGAGGGAAGAGAAGGAGAGGAGAAGCTGAGATGAGGAGAGAGAGAGAGTAGGGACGAGGGGAGAAGAGGAGAGAAGAGGAGAGATGAAGAAGAGAAGAGAGAGAGACGAAGAAGAGGAGAGACAGAGAGGAGAGAGAAGAGATACGCGAGAGAGGACAGAGGAGAGAGGAGGAATGAGGTTAGATCGAGAGGGATGAGGGATGATAGAGGAGATAGAGGATATTGGAGGAGGGAGAGAGGAAGGGTGAGGGAGGAAGGAGGAGAGATGAGAGGAGAAGAGGAGGAGAAAGAGGGAAGGAGAGAAGGAGATAAGGAGAGCAAGGAGAATATGTGAGGATGAGAGAGGAAGGAAGATAGACCGAGAGGAGAAGAGGAAAGGTAGGATAGAAGGCAGAGAGAGGAGGAAGAGGAGAGGAATGAAGCAGGAGAGGAGATAGGAAAGAAGGGCGAGGTGCGCGGAAGATAGGGAGGAGAGGATAGGACGAAGAGGAGAGCTGTGGAAAGTAGAGGGGAAGAGGAGAGAGAGAGGAAGGATGAAGAGGAGAGGCAGAAAGAGAGAGTAGGAACAGAGAGATAGAGAGGAGAAGAAGAGAGTGAGAAAGAGAAGAGGGACACAGGAGAGGGAGGAAGAGGAGAGGCGAAGAAGGAGGAAGGAGGAGAAGGAAGGGGAGAGCGAATGAGAGGAGAGATGGAGAGGAGGAGGGAGGAAGAGGAGAGGGAGTAAGAGGAGAGGAGAAGGAGAGAGAGAGATAGATGAAGAGAGGGACGAGAGAGGAAGGAGGAAGAGGACGAAGAGCAGAGAGAAAGAGAAAGGAGGAAGGGAGAAGAAGAAGAGAGAGGGGAAGAAGGGGAGAGAAAGAAGAAGGAGAGAGAGAGAGGAGAGAGGAGGAAGAGACGACGAGGAGAGGAAGGAGAGAGGAAGAGAAGAGGAAGAGGGAGAGGAAGAGATAGGAGATAGAGAAGAGGGAAGAGAGAAGGAAGAGGACGAAGAAGAAGAGAGGGAGAAGACGGAGAGGAAGGAATAGAGAGGAAGGCGAAGAGGAGGGATAAGAGGAGAGAGGAAGGAATAGAGGAGAGAAGAAGGATGGAGGGGAAGAGGAAAGGGTGGAAAATGGAGAGAGGAAGAGGAGAGGGGAAGAAGAGAGGAAGAGGAGAGGAAGGAGAGGAGAAGAGTGAGAGATGAAGAGGAGAAGAAGAGATGAGGGAAGAGAGAGGATAAGAGAGAGAGAGGAGAGGAGAAGAGACGAAGGGGAGAGGAGAGGAGAGAAGAAGATGAGAAGAGAGGAGAAGGGAGAAGGTGAGAAGAGAGAAAGAAGGAGAGAGATGGAGGAGAGAGGAGAGAAAGAGGAAGAGGAGCGAAGATAGGGAGAGAGAGGAAGTTGGAAGAAGAGAGAGAGGAGGAGAAGAGAGAGAAGAAGAAAGAACAGAAGGAGGAGAAGAGAGGCAGGGAAGAGAGAGGAGAGAAGTGGAGGGAGAGAAGAAGAGAAGAGAGATGGGAGAGAAGAGAGGAGAAAGGGAGAGAAGAGGAGAGTGAAGAGAAGAGAAAGGGAGAGAAATATGAGAAGAGAGTAGGAAGGAGAGGAGAAGAGACGAGAGAGAGAAAGGAGAAATGATGGAAGAGAGAGTAAGAGGGAAGATGAAGAGGAGAGGGAGGAGAAGGGAGAAGAGAAGAGAGGAAGAGAAGAGAAGAGAGAGAAGAGAGGAGAGAAGAGAGAGATTAAGAAGAGTGAGGGAAGGGAGAAGAAGAGAGAATAGAAGAGAGGAGAAGAGATGGAGAGAGAGAGACAGGAGTAGAAGAGATGAAAGAGGTAGAGGATGAGAGAAGAGGGAGGAGGAGGAAGAGGAGAGGAGGAAGAGAGAGAGAGAAGAGAGGGAGAGGAATAGAAGGAGAAGGAAGAGAAGAGGAGAGAGTAGAGGAGAAGAGTAGAGATGAAGGGAGGGAGAGAGAGGAAGGAGAGAAGGAGCGGAAGATGAGAGGGAGAGAGGGAGAGGGAGGAAGAGGAGGAGAGAAGAAGGCGAGAGGAGAATAGAAGAGAGAGAAGAGAGAGAGAGATGAAGAGAGAGGAAGGGAGGAGTAAGAGAGGAGAGAGGAGAGGAGTAGGAGGGAGAGGAGGAAGAAGAGATAAGAGGAGGGATGAATAGATAGAGAGAAGAGTAGAGAGAGAGAAGAGAAAAGAGGATAGAGAAGGATGAAGTAGGCAAGTGAGGAGAGAGGAGAAAGGAGAAGAAGGAGAGAGGAGGAAAGAAGGAGAAGAGAAGAGAGAGAGAGAGAGAACGAGGAGAGGAGAGAAGAGAAGAGGAGAGAAGGAGATAGAGATAGAGAAGAGAGAGAGAGAAGGAAGAGGAGCGCAGAGAGAGAGAGAGAGAAGAGGAGGAGGAGGAAGAGAGGAGGAGAGAGGAGAGATGAAGAGAGAAGAGGAAGAGAGAGAGAGGAAGCGAGAGAGGGAAGAGAAGGGAGAGAAGAAAGGAGAGAGAGAGAGAGAAGAGAAGAGAGTAAGAGGAGAGGAAGAAGAGGAGAGGAGGAAGAAGAGAGAGAGAAGAAGAAAGAGAGGAGGAGAGAGAGAGATGGAAGAGAGAGGAGGGAGAGAGGAGAGAGAGGAAGAGAGAGGAGAGGAGGGAGAGAGAAGGAGAGAGAGGAGAGGAGAGAGGAGAGGAGAGGGAGAGATGAGAGAGAGAGAAGGGAGAAGAGGAGGAGAGAGAAGAGAAGAGGAGAGAGAGAGGAGAAGAGGAGAGGAGAGGAGAGAGAGGAGAGGAGAGAGAGGGAGAGGAGAGAGGGAGAGGAGAGAGAGAAGAGAGAGAGGAGAGAGAGAGGAGAGAGAGGGAAGAGAAGAGAGAGAGGAGAGAGAGGAGAGAGGAGAGGAGGAAGAGAGGAGAGGAGAGAGGAGAGAGAGAGAAGAGGAGAGAGGAGAGAGAGAGGAGGGAGAGAGAGGAGAGAGAGGAGAGAGGAGAGAGAGGAGAGAGAGAGGAGGAAGAGGAGGAGAGGAGAGGAGAGAGAGAGAGGAGAAGAGAGGAAGAGGAGAGGAGGAGAGAGGAGAGGGGAGGAGAGGAGAGAGGAAGAGGAGAGGAGAGGAGAGAGAGGAGAAGAGAGGAGAGAAGGGGAGGAGAGAGAGGAGAGAGAGGAGAGAAGAGAGGAGAGAGAGGAGAGGAAGAGGAGAGAGAAGGAGAGAGGAGAGAGAGGAGAGAAGAGGAGAGGGAGAGGAGAAGAGGAGAGAGGGGAGAGAGAGAGAGAGGAGAGAGGAGAGGAGAGAGAGGAGAGAGGGAGAGGAGAAGAGGAGAGAGAGAGAAGAGAGGAAGAGAGGAGAGGAGAGAGGAGAGAGAGAGAGGAAGAGAGAGGAGAAGAGGAGAGAGAGAGGAGAGAAGAGGGAGAGGAGAGGAGGAGAGGAGGAGAGAGAGAGAGGAGGAAGAGAGAGGAAGAGAGAGGAGAGGAGAAGAGGAGAAGAGAAGAGGAGAGGAGAGGAGAGAGAGGAGAGGAGAGAGAGGAGAGGAGAAGAGGAGAGGAGAGAGAGGAGAGAAGGAGAGAGAAGAGAGAGAGAAGAAGAGAGGAAGAGAAGAGAGAAGAGAGAAGGAGAGAGGAAGAAGAGAGGAAGAGAAGAGGAAGAGAGAGGAGAAGAGAGGAGAGAAGAGGAAGAGAGGAGAGAGAGAAGAAGAGAGAGAAGAAGAGAGGAGAGAGAGAAGAGAGAAGAGAGGAAGAGAGAGAGAGAGAAGGAGAAGAGAAAGAGAGAGAAGAAAGGAGAGAAGAAGAGGAAGAGAGAGAGAAGAGGAGAGAAGAGAGGAGAGAAGAGAGGAGAGAGAAGAGAAGAAGAGAGAGAAGAGGGAGAGAGAAGAGAGAGGAAGAGAAGAGAGGAAAGAAGAAGGAGAGAGAGAGGAGAGAGAGAAGAGAGAGAGAAGAGAGGAGAAGAGAGAGAAGAAGAGGAGAAGAGAAGGAGAAGAGAAGAAGAGAGAGAGAGAAGAGGAGAGGAGAGAGAAGAGAGAAGAGAGAGAGAGGAGAGAGAGAAGGAGAGAGAAGAGGGGAGAGAAGAGGAGAGAGAAGGAGAGAGAAGGAGAGGAGGAAGAGAGAGAGAAGAGAGAGAGAAGAGAGAAGAGAGGGAGAAGAGAGAAGAGAGAGGAGAGAGAGAAGAGAGAAGAGGAAGAAGAGAGGAGAGAGAAGAGGAGAAGAGAAGAGAGGAGAGAGAGAAGAGAGAAGAGAGGAGAGAAGAGAGAAGAGAGAAGAGGAGAGAGAGAGAAGAGAGGAGAGAGAGGAGAGAAGAAGAGGAGAGAGAGGAAGAGAGAGGAGAGAAGAGAGGAGAGAAGAGAGGAGAGAGAAGAGAGAAGAGGAGAGAGAAGGAAAGAGGAAGAGAGAGAAGAGGAGAGAGAGAAGAGAGGAGAGAGAGAAGAGAAGAGAGAGAGGAAGAGAGAGAAGAGAGGAGAAGAGAAGAAGAGGAGAAGAGAGGAGAAGAGAGAGAAGAGAGAGAAGAGAGAGAGGAGAGAGAGGAGAGAAGGAGAAGAGAGGAGAAGAGAAGAAGAAGAGAGAGAAGAGAGGAGAGAGAAGAGGAGAAGAGAGAGAAGAGAGAAGAGAGAGAAGAGAGGAAGAGAGAGAGAGAGAAGAGAGAGGAAGAGAGAAAGAGAGAGAAGAGAGAGAAGAGGAGAAGAAGGAAGAGAAGAGGAGAAGAAGAGAGAGAGAAGGAGAAGAGAGAAGAGAGAGGAAGAGAGAGAAGAGAAGAGAAGAGAGAAGAGAGAAGAGAAGAGGAGAGAGAGAGGAGGAAGAAGAGAAGAGGATAGAGAGAAAGAGGTAGAAGAGAGACAAGAGAGGAGGAGAGAGAGAAAGAGAGAAAGAGGAGGAGAGAGGAGGAGAGAAGAGAAGAGAGAATAGAGAAGAGAACAGAGGAGAGAGATAGACAGGAGAAGAGGAGAGAAAAGACAGAAGAGTGAAGAAGAGGAAGAAGAGACAGAGGAGAAGAATGAGAGAAGATAGAGAGAGAGAAGAGAAAGAGGAGAGGAAGAGGAAAGAAGAAAAGAGGAGAGAGAGAAGAGAGATGAAAAGAGGAACGAGAGAAGAGAGGAGAAAAGAGGAGAAGAGGTGAGAGAGAGAAGAGAGAGAAGGTGGAGAAGAGACAGAGAGAAAGAGGAGAAGAGAAGAGAGAGAGAAGAGAGAGAGAGACAGGACAGGAGAGGAGGAGAGAGAAGAGGAGGAGGAGAGAGAGAGAGGAGGAGAGAGAGAAGAGGAGGAGAGAGAGAAGAGGAGGAGGAGAGAGAGAAGAGGAGGAGAGAGAGAAGAGGAGAAGAGGAGAGAGAAGAGAGGAGAGAAGAGGAGAGAGAAGAGAGAGAAGAGAGAAGAGAGAGGAGAAGGAGAGAGAAGAGAGAGAAGAGGAGAGAGAAGAAGAGGAGAGAGAGAGAAGAGAAGGAGAGAAGAGAGGAGAAGAGAGAGGAGAGGAGAGAGAGAAGAGAGAAGAAGAGAGAGAAGAGAAGGAGGAGAAGAGAGAGAAAGGAGAAGAGACTGAGAGGAGAGAGAAATATAGAGAAAGGAGAAGAGACAGGAGGAGAGGAGATAGTATAGAGAGAGAGGAGAAGAGACAGAGAGGAGGAGAGAGAATAGAGAGAAGAGGAGAAGAGACAGGAGGAGAGAAGATAGTATAGAGAGAAGAGGAGAAGAGACCAGGAGGAGGAGGAGAAGAGTATTTGAGAGAAGAGGAGAAGAGAACAGGAGGAGGAAGGAGAGAATAGAGAGCAGAGGAGAAGAGACAGGAGGAAGGAGAGAGAGAATAGAGAGAAGAGGAGAGACAGGAGGAGGAGAGAGAAGGGTGGAGATGAGAAGAGGAGAAGAGAAAGGTGGAGGAGAGAGTGAAAATAGAGAGAAGAGGAGGAGAGAAGGAGGAGGAGAGAGAGTGGAGTGAAGGAGAGAGTAGATGAGAGAGAGATAGAGGAGAAGAGGAGTCGAGTAGAGGTGGTAAGGTGAGGAGAATAGAGAGAGAGTGAGAGTGAGGAGAGAGGAGGAGAGAGTAGAGAAGAGAAAAGGAGGAGAGGAGTAGAGTAGAGGGGTAAGGAGAGAGGTGGAGAGAGAATAGAGAGAGTGGAGTGAGGAGATGAGAGTAGAAGAACAAGAGGATTAGATGAGAAGAGAGGAAACAATAGGAGTAAGGAGAGAGGAGAGAAGAGAAAGAGGAGAGAGAGGAGTGAGAATCAGTTCCTCCGTTCAAAAATGTCAAAATATTAAACGCCATTTTTGATAGAAGTGAACATTTGACATCTCACCTTGAACAATGCTATCACATGAAGAAGAAGAAGAAGAAGAAGAAGAAGAAGAAGAAGAAGAAGAAGAAGAAGAAGAAGAAGAAGAAGAAGAAGAAGAAGAAGAAGAAGAAGAAGAAGAAGAAGAAGAAGAAGAAGAAGAAGAAGAAGAAGAAGAAGAAGAAGAAGAAGAAGAAGAAGAAGAAGAAGAAGAAGAAGAAGAAGAAGAAGAAGAAGAAGAACTCTGCCGTGTTAGCAAACCATATTTCCCACAATCTTCCAAACCCGGGTTTCTGACTGAAGTTTCCCGGGGAGACGTGTTTGCTGATGGGAAAGACTGGTGTTTTTGAAGGGATTGTTCACAGAGGAGCCGCTTCTGTCTCTGCTCAGAGCCACATCTGCACAACACATCTCTGCCCTTTACCTGCGCCCTCATCCGGATCCCCCACAATCCTCTGGGGCCGGCTCCGGCTCCGCAGTCCTGATGAGTTTTCCGTGAATATGCGCGGAGCAGACAGTGGAAAACCTGAAGCTATCATTTCACAGGCTTCTGATGGATGTATTCACTTGCCACTTGCTCTGATTGAATATGACATCAGTAACTAAACATTTATTTCATTTTAGAAGAATGTAGATACTTTTTAACCAGCTGGCCCCGTTTTTCTTCTATAATGTCTAAACAAACCATTGTAAGAGTTGCTGGAATACTTTTAATATCCACTATATATAGCCCGGCCTAGAACGCAACGGAATTTGCCTTGGTAGACTTTACAAAGTTTTTCATTCACACAAAACACAATAGGAGCCATTTGTCCATAGGGGGCGGTATGACCAATGTCCATAAATTTGCCTAAAAGTCCCAGACCCTCATTGACCCTCGTGCAGTAAGACAACGGTTGACTGACCAATGGGGAGAGGGTTCATTTATCCATCAAAGATATCAATTCATATCGGCCAATCAGGAAGCAGGGAGGGAGAGAATGGCGTTAACTGGGGCTAACTCGTGCCTGTTCCTGCCTCAAAAACACATTTTGACCAATTACATAATCATACTGTTTTTGTGTGAAGTCTTTCGTATCGGGACCTAATAAATAATAACACAAATTATAATGATAACAATAATATTTTTTGACTTGTTCGCTGTGGTCTGTGCAGTTTCTTGAAAGGTGAATTGTAAAAAGTACTCGTTAATTGCAGCAACTTCAACCAGGAAGACATTTTTCAAGGGTTGTACTGTTTGGACACACTCAATACAATTTAAGTATAAAAAGCTTTAAAAAAAAATTATTGAATGTGTTGTTCATGACAATAGGTATCCAACCCAACCCTATATCTACCCATTACTGATACATCGCATTTAATCTCAACAAAAAACCCATTCTTTAGCTGGGCCGAGACAGTATTTTCTGATTTTGTGGATCCATTCTGGGATTTGGGGCAGACCTCCCAAAGAGGGCAGACCTCTTTGGGACCTCTTCAGTCCGGGAGCGGTTGGGGGTCTTAGAGGCTCAGTGATGCAGCAGCAGTTTTGTCTAGAGTCCTGGGAAAGTCCTGGTTTGGTCCTGGGTTAGTCCTGGTCCAGTGCCCACCGGCCTCACCTCCTCCGGACCGAAACTCACTTTTGTTCAGTGAGACGGTTACGGCTCCCTGCTCCACGGATCAGGACGGCCCACGCAGGAAAGAAGGAAGAAGAGAGGATTTCGCTTTGAAATTTCAGTGGTCTGTTTTTAAAGAATATTTTCTATTTTATTGATGCGGACGTTGGCGTTCTTAATGTCAGTCGGCTTCAGTCATTGCAAAAAAACATATTCCTTTTCAATTCTGTAAACGAGATGAACTTGTTGTACGTTTTGCCACTTCATCTGAATCTTTTTAATGAGCGACAAAGACATGAATCTAAAAATCGCTCTCAGACGACAGAATTTGATTTTCACTTCAATCCTGTTTTGTTGCTGGTCCTCTCCTATTCCAATTTGTAGCTTTTTGGAGATCAATGAGAATTTCTTGAAAAAAAATGTCAACCATTTGTAATTTTGACCTGTGGATCCACCTGAGCAAGTGAAGTAGCTCCAATTTGCCTTAAGACCCTCTTGAATCCAGCCGTCGACCCTTTTGTTCTATACTGACTTTAGTGTCATGATTGTGTCACAACATTTCAAATATAATGCATAGAGCTGCAACTAACGATTATGTTGTAATCGATTAATCCATCGATTATTTTTACGATTAATCGAGTAATTGCTTGGCTGTGAATTGTGTAGAAAAAAAATATTTTTTCATCACAAAAAGCTAAAGTGGAGGACGTATTGATGGCGTAAACTTAAAGTAAATGTTTGTAACAGGCTCTTTGTGCTAATTCTGCTCTGATTGGATGAGACAGACAGATATTCATGAAATTATAAAAACAAAGTCGGTTTTAATCAAAAATACTACATTTTCATGTCATTTTTGCTCTGTTTGAGTCTGTGTGAACCAGAAAACGATTAATCGATTACTAAAATAGTTGTCGACTATTTCAATAATCGATTAGTCGTCGATTAATCGATTAGTTGTTTCAGCCCTAATAATGCAGCTGTGGTGTGAATATAACACGGACGTCTCATAAGAATCATAATCAATGTATTGCCATTTGCAGAAAAAAACTACATTACACACACACACACACACACACACACACACACACACACACACACTTCATTTCATTTTCAAGCCCTTTATTGTCCATTTCTGGGTCGGGGGGGTGGCAATGAGAGCTGCCACCCAGCGCTCATAGCACCAGTCCCTCTGATCTTCTGCAGGGGGTGAGTCCACAGGAAGATGGATGCTCCGTCAGTGGTGAAACAGCCTTGGTCTTTCAGCGGGGGCTTCAGGCAACGTGGGGTTAAGTGTCTTGCCCAAGGACACAACAACAGTAGACATCAGTGGGAGCAGTTGGAGTAGGTCCCATGGTGGGAATCAAACTCACGACCTCCAACTGAGCTACTGTCACCCCATATATATAACTCATAAAAGCATTATCACAACCCATTTTAGATTTTAGAATCCAGTCAATCCAGTTTTTTAAATCCATGTGCTCGGCCCCAGGTCAAGTCTGAGGAACTAAAGTGGCCCTCCTATTATAAAGTTTGGACCTAAATTGGACCATAGAATTTGGACCCTGAATCGCAACAGCAGTCGTCTCGGAGGACTTTACGAAGTTGTCGATTCACCAACAACAGATCAGAGAATTAAACGGACTGAACTTGGGAAATGCAATAATAACAAACACATAGAAGCCATAGGACCGTAGGATGACCACTGTCCATAAATGTGCATAAATATAGATAGATAGATGTGTGGAAAAGTATTACATGGACATACATTTGGAATTTGCATTTGCAGCTGTTTTGTTTAGAAATTAATATCAAACCAAAATCATATTGAAAATCAGGATTGTCAGTGTGAGGCCAAATGCTGTGGGTTTGTGTGGTTCTTTTGTGTGACTGTGTGAATGCTGTTATGTCTCTAAACTGTATTATCGGGAGTAAGGTTTGATCTTTAAACTGTGAATATTGTCGTAACTTTTCCGGGTCTCTTAATCTTGAAAAGAAATCTGGTTTCTTGAAGTTGAGTCCAGAGCTGGGGTGGATTAAACCTCAGGGGATCTCCTCAGAATCACTTCCTGTTTTAATCAAAGCTAATTACGGCCGCTCCAGTTACAGGACTCTGACCCGCGCCTCCTGCTTTCTGACGGAAGAATGGAGCGGTTTTATACTCATTCAGCCAGTTTATTACAATGTATTTTGGAAAACCTCTGGGAACTATGTAATGTTATGGAATGTTAATGCTCTGTGATGCCTGTGAGCCAATGATAAGAAGACTTTTTATTGGTCAAACAGGCTCTCCCTCTTGGTTTCATGTTCTGGTGTGTTTTGAACGACTATATTCAGTTATTTGGATTATGGTCTGCTTTATGCCAAATTGGTAAGAATGAATGATTTTTATATAACCCGTATCAGTAAGGGTTATAAAATTACTATTATAGATTCATTCATAATCAGTAAAAGTTCAGTATTACCCTCCTGAACTGTGTTAGACCTGCTTCTGTCCTGTTTTTGGAACTGCTTTTAGTCCTACTTGAGATCTGTTTTAGTCCTGCTTCAGACCTGTGTTAGACCTGCTTGAGACCTGCTTTAGACCTGCTTTAGTCCTGCTTTAGACCTGCTTTAGACCTGCTTTAGTACTGCGTTAGTCCTGCTTTAGACCTGCTTCAGACCTGCTTAAGTCCTGCTTTAGTCCTGCTTTAGACCTTATTCAGACCTGCGTTAGTCGTACTTTAGACCTGCTTCAGACCTGCTTTAGTCCTGCTTCAGACCTGCTTTAGTCCTGCTTCAGACCTGCTTTAGACCTGCTTTAGTACTGCGTTAGTCCTGCTTCAGACCTGCTTAAGTCCTGCTTTAGACCTGCTTCAGACCTGCTTAAGTCCTGCTTTAGTCCTGCTTTAGACCTTATTCAGACCTGCGTTAGTCGTACTTTAGACCTGCTTCAGACCTGCTTTAGTCCTGCTTCAGACCTGCTTTAGTCCTGCTTCAGACCTGCTTCAGACCTACTTCAAACCTGCGTTAGTCCTGCTTTAGTCCTGCTTGAGACCCGCTTCAGCCCTGCGTTAGTCCCGCTTGAGACCTGCTTTAGTCCCGCTTGAGACCTGCTTTAGTCCTGCTTGAGACCTGCTTTAGTCCCGCTTGAGACCTGCTTGAGACCTGCTTTAGTCCTGCTTCAGACCTGCTTCAGCCCTGCGTTATTCCCGCTTGAGACCTGCTTTAGTCCTGCTTTAGTCCTGCTTCAGACCTGCTTCAGACCTGCTTCAGACCTGCTTTAGTCCTGCTTCAGACCTGCTTTAGTCCTGCTTGAGACCTGCTTTCGTCCCTGATTTAGTCCCTTATTTGGGGCAGGATTAGGGGCTGGAGGAGGGGATCTGAGGAGGAAGTGCTGATTACAGAGCTCCCCTGAACACTCCCAGATGTGAGACAAACACAGGTTTACAAACAGACTGAGGATCGGACCCCCCAGCACCCCCCGCACCCCCCCACACAGACCTCGGCCCCCTCAACATGGACTCAGGCAAAATGCTGCATGCTTCTTTGGTCAAGTCAAGAACAATTAGTCACATACAAAGCAGATGACCTCACGTTCACATCTACAATCTGTTTTTTAAGCCCCTTGAGTTTGTACTGATTCAGTCTCAGCCACTTTTATCCAATTGTTATAAAGTTAGACCCAGTATCGTCCTTGATTTCTGCCACATTGACACACAATTCGCAACAAAAGTTCATCATAAAATATACTTGGAGTTAACCAGGACTAGAACAGGGAGAAAAAACACTTAAATCCATAGACCTTATTACTTATTTACGGCCATAATCTTGTGAAAGCAGAAATATACTTGTACGTATACTTTACTTTAGATTTGCCTTTTTGTTTTGACTCAAGCTTCTAAAATGTGTCGAGAAATTCCTAATGTGTAGCAGAAATCATGGAGAACTCCCATTGCAATGTGTAAAATCTTTTCATCACTTGTTCCCGGGTTAACATCCACTTGCTCCGATAAGTAATGAAACCAAATAGGCAATTATTTGACTCAGAACGATTTCCCCGGATGAGTATTTTTGCGTTTGATCATTTGCCGTTTGCTCGCTGAATGAGACACGAGTCAGTCCGAGGCTCTGACCTGTCGTACAGTGATAAATGATGGTTATTATCCCCAAACACCTGGAGACAGGAAGCGCCGCAGCCTTCATTATGATTATTATGGGCCTGAGGGAGTGGGCGGGGCCTGTTTCAAAGGGGCGTGGCTTGTGTGCATGCAGGAGGGGGTCTGGAAAAATAATCAGGTTAAAAGTTAAAGCTGCAAAGAGCGTTGGAGTGAGATGGGAAACATGCTTCGTTCATTCATTAGGACTGGGGTCTGCATCCTCTGGTGTCGTTTCTACAGATTTGATGTAAATTGAAAATAAAAATCACACTAATTTGACTGGTTTTAAAGCTGAGGTCTATCGCCTTTTTATCCATACACACTACATTGTGTTTGCCCCAACAGAAAGTGTTGTGTCAAACCAGACCTCATCTCACATTATTTAGCAAACAATCTTTTTTTTATTTGATTTATTTTGGTGATTATGGTGCAAAATTACAATTGCAAAAACAGAATCAACATTGCAGACTTTACACAGACCGACAAGGCGTAGGCTGATGCTTAAAGCTTATAATGCCTGCCTTTACAACACAACATGTGCCTCTGCTACCTTTGTGTTTTTCTCATTGAAAATACAAAAGAAAGGAAAGAAAAACACCAGGCCATTCATCCATTAAGGATAAATACAAATATTGTTATCTCAAGCTTGATGGAGAAGAAAGCTGATACTACGATGTGGCAGATGGAATAGTATAGGTTAGCAACTACACTCCTTGTCGGACTAAAAGCGGCAACTTTTTTTGAGTTCTTAAAACCCCGCAGCTTGTAGACAGATGCTAATGTAGGTGATGTAATGTAAGTTGGTGGTTTCATTTTTACTAAGTACAAAAACTGGTGAATGTAACTTGAAATACAGAAAAAAGAAAATGCTAACTGTTGAAATGCTAAATGCTAACGGCTAGCAAGTTGGCAGCTTGTTGCTATGGTTACTAGGGCTTGCACAACTTTACTTCTCCACTTGTTTTCTAAAATGTATACATAGTTTCATGAAAATAATGACAGAAATAAACGACATAAAGAAAATGAAGAAGTCACAAGTGTTTTAAGATTACATTTTTTTTTACCAAAAGCCTTCAAAGTGACTGCTCTGGGAGTTCCAGTGTTAACGTGGCAAAGAATAATCAGCTAATTAATTACAAATGAAAACGGTTGTATGTATTTATATGCAGTCTGATTTAGAAATATATAAAACAATCCAACTTTTATTGGTTTTTTTATTTGGTTTTGTAGAATGTCCCCTGTTTCGGTTGTGTCATAAAATAATACTTAAACTAAGCAGAACCAAAGAGCAGCTACAAAATCTCAGAATATTGTTATAAGTACTAAGTAATAAACATGTATTAGAGTTGTAATAGAGCTGTAATAGGCTAGTAGTCAGAAGTCTAGATTTGGCTCAAGGAGGGAGTGGCAGGAATAAAAAAAAAAATCAAAATCACAAACAATGAAGTGACACAAACCTATCCCAAAGTAGCATTTATTTTGTAGCTGCTCTTTTGTTCTACTGAGTTTAAGTATTATTTTATGACACAGAGGGTTCAGTGGGATTTACCAGAGTTCTTTCGTCATCACGAGTCAACAGTGCATTAAAACACCTCATTAAAGTCCAGATAAAACGTCTTTCTGCTTCGTTTAGCTCCATCAGCTGTTGGTTAAGTGTTACATTACAACATGAAAACCTGCGGGTTATATTCAAGTCTGGCCTTTAAAATGACTTTAAGCCGGTACAGTATATATGCATGGATTTTATTAGCTAGTTTGTTTGGTTTAAAAGTTGGGTTAAATGGATTCCGAGATTTTTTTGTCTTCCTCCTGTGGGTTATTCCTCATCTATCGTCTCCATAGAAACAGTGTTGTCCGATTAAGACCTTGTTTAGCTCTAATTTAGACTCACAAAAGTTCTGTTTGGACCTGGTCCTGGTTTCTTATGGGGTTTGCCCGACTGAATACATATTTTGGTCCTGGTTTAGTCCTGGTTTAAGACAAGTTTAGTCATGCCTAGTTCCTAGTTTAGTTCCTGCTTTAATCCCTCCTTTAGTCCTAGTTTAGTCCTGATTTTGTCCTAGTTTAGTTCCTGCTTTAGTCCCTCCTTTAGTTCTAGTTTAGTCCTTTCTTTAGTCCTAGTTTAGTCCCTCCTTTAGTCCTAGTTTAGTCCATCCTTTAGTCCTAGTTTAGTCCCTGCTTTAGTCATAGTTAAGTCCTGCTTTAGTCCCTCCTTTAGTCCTGCTTTAGTCCTAGTTTAGTCCTGCTCTTGTCCCAGTTTAGTCCCTCCTTTAGTCCTGATTTTGTCCTAGTTTAGTTCCTGCTTTAGTCGCTCCTTTAGTCCTAGTTTAGTCCATCCTTAAGTCCTAGTTTAGTCCCTGCTTTAGTCCCTGCTTTAGTCCTAGTTTAGTCCTGATTTTGTCCTAGTTTAGTTCCTGCTTTAGTCCCTCCTTTAGTTCTAGTTTAGTCCTTTCTTTAGTCCTAGTTTAGTCCCTCCTTTAGTCCTAGTTTAGTCCCTGCTTTAGTCATAGTTAAGTCCTGCTTTAGTCCTAGTTTAGTCCTGCTCTTGTCCCAGTTTAGTCCCTCCTTTAGTCCTGATTTTGTCCTAGTTTAGTTCCTGCTTTAGTCGCCCCTTTAGTCCTAGTTTAGTTTGGTGTAAATATAGTGGTGCTTCGGATCTTCAAGGCCATGCAGACCTTGCTTGCATTTGGATTGGCTGTACTCTGTATTAGTATCTGTTCTGACTCGCTTCTGTCCTCACCGTGTGTGGAGAGAATGGAATATATATATATTGTTGTGACTTATTTAGTTCTAGACATTAAACATTGATTATTAGTTGTAACATAATTATAATCGTATTTCCAAATTACAAGGTACGGTAAAAAAGTGCCATATGGTTTTATTTTGAAGAAACGGAAGTGTTTTATTGTGAAGGGTGAAAACAGGATCTGTTCTAGTTTTATGAAACCATCTTAACTAAAAATGTGAATCAGCAAAAGTTGTCTCTTGCCGCTGTGTTTTGTTCAATAAACCTGAACAAGAAAGTTCAGTAAAACTACCGAGCCTCTGTCATGATTATAGAAGCTGTATCTACGTATCATATATGAACAATTGGGAAGCGCTTTGGGTGACATCACATCATACTGTATAAAAGGACGTGTCTTCTTCTGTTCGATCGGGAAGAACTAAACCGGGTTACAAGTGCGATCGCCACTGCCTCTGTCGTCATTTTGTCAACTGTACCCAGAACGATAAATATTCAGATAAGGTGATGCCAAAAGTTTAAGAGCCACTGCACAAGACTAGTGAAGAAGATGACAAAGTCTGGGATCGCGTCTTTCATTCAGACAGAAGACATGTTTTATTGTCAATGGTAGAGACAGCACGATCAACAGATACAAGAGAATGCAAGTGTATTATACAGAGCGGAGGCATGGAGACCTCCAATCAGCAGCTGCCACGGTGCCATGTAGCTTGGCCTTCAGATAGACAAAACATGAAGTGGAAAAGTACAGGCTTCTGCACATTGATAGAATGATGAGTTTAACTTTAACAAAAGTTGCTTCAAAGTGTTATGAAATCTCACATTCTCCCCTCTGGTCATACATTCACGTGTGACCATCAGGATCGATAAACAGCAACATAACATCATAACTCAATACTTCAAAAACTCATAAACTCGGTACTTCACTCGGTACTTCAAAAAACTCAGAACTCGGAATACTTCAAAAACTCATAAAACATGTTCAGATCTTTCATAAAACTTGTCAACAATCTTCAGTAAAATACCAAACTTCATCAGTCGATGGTTCCAGATATTGCTTTGAAAACAGTCTCTCCCACTTCTCCGTGTTGGTTTCTTCAGGCTGCATTTGTGTCGAGCCATGAATTCTTCTGTGACGTGTCTTTCAATCACACGTTTCAGCTTCAGTGTCCAGATTCAGCAATTCAATTCAGTCCAAATTATGTCCAAATTCAGAAATCCAGATTGTTCCAAATGATGTCCTTGCAAAAGAGGACGATGGTATTGTCCATGTCTCAGCAGCTCACAGCAGGCCTGAGTGGAATCAGGGGCTGTGCAGATTGTCCATGTGCTGGTCCAGATGCATGGTTTCTCTTGAGGTTTCTCAGTTTTGGCTTAAAAAAAAAAACACTTTTTGTGTAAAAAAAAGGTCTTCTGTTCTGTAGATGTTACAGACAAGGCCCGCATCCTTCCACCACCTGAAGAAGATGACATAGTCTGGGATCGCGTCTTTCATTCAGACAGAAGACATGTTTTATTGTCAATGGTAGAAACAGCACGATCAACAGATACAAGAGAATGCAAGTGTATTATACAGAGCGGAGGCATGGAGACCTCCAATCAGCAGCTGCCACGGTGTGCTTGTAGCTTGGCCTTCAGATAGACAAAACATGAAGTGGAAAAGTACAGGCTTCTGCACATTGATAGAATGATGAGTTTAACTTTAACAAAAGTTGCTTCAAAGTGTTATGAAATCTCACACTAGGATCTACATTTTTATTTTTGGTCCTCACATCTGTTATAGGAGTAAGACATATTCAGGCCATACTGTATACGGTCCACAAATATTGAATTGTAAGACTTTTCCACATTAACCCGGTCTTTCATGTTTTCATTCATGTGTTTGTTTGTGTGTCAGGTGTCGTCAGGCTCCGATGGATCTCAGAAACTTCCTGTTACCTTCAAAACTGACAGTGAGTACAACTTTAAATTATTAAAAAGGCTTTGTCTGATAAATGGCACACAGAACTGCTCTCTCTGCACTGTGCTGGCTCTGCTGTTTTGGAGTAAATCTAGCACAGAAATAACGTCCATTCTCTACAAATTTAAAATTTAAAATTTGCAATGATGACGAATGAGTTAGAAAAGTTAGAATGAGTTAGAAAGTCGGCAAGTGATTATTCATAACTTTTGACTTTAGCAACAAATGGGGCCTATCTCTGTGCCCATATTTCTTAACACTCAAAGGTCCTATATCACGCTTTTCTTCATGTTTCACACTCAATCCTATGCACATGTGTGATATTAATGTGTATGATACACCACACAACAATCAAAGCTTGTGAGATTAGAGCCATCTCTTGTATAGAGGTGACGTCACCTCGACTCAAACGAGCTGATCCAGAGAAGAGTCAGCTCGGAGAAGAGCCCCCCCCCCCCCCCCCCCCCCCCCCCGCCCTCCCTCACCCGCCTCCCCCCGCCCGCACGGTGACGTAGCATCACGCTTTTGTCGTTTATCACCTGTACTTAGTAATTTCATACATAAGAATAAACTTTTTCCAACAATGACAATCCGTCACATCGAGCCCTATGTCCTCGATGCACAATCAGACCCTAGTTATTTAGTTTACAGAAGTATACAGCGAGTTAGCGTCACTACTTACAGATCGAGGGGGTCCGAGTTACGTATTTTACCGCGGGAATAACGTGTTTCCACATCAGCTTTTGAGTAAGTGCGGCACGGTGGCTGAGTGGATTGCACTCTCGCCTCTCAGCAAGAAGGTCCTGGGTTCAAATCCCGGTTGGACCAGGGCCTTTCTGAGTGGAGTTTGCATGTTCTCCCCGTGTCTGCGTAGGTTTCCTCCGGGTGCTCCGGTTTCCCCTACCACTAAAAATATGTACAATAGGTCTGGCATGTGCCTCCTGTACTGGCGACCCCCACTCCCAAAAAATAACAATTGTAAACCGCTTTGAGACTCCGATGTGCAGTGAAAAGGCGGTATATAAATAAAGATTACTTACTTACTTACTTACTTAAGTCCAGTTCCATTGTCCCTGTAGTTCTGGAACAGTCTCAGTGAAGTGTCGCAGATGAACCGGTATCATAATAGATCCATGAGATGAAGAGATGAAAAAAGTCGAGCCGCTTTCTTCCTCTTAGGGCCAAATAGTGTGTCACTTATTTACACCCATAACACACTTCATTCAAGGTGACGTGATCCTAACACTTTTAGTTGCTGACAAAAGCATAAAAACAGCAGCTCTATGTGGTGTCCGCGAGACCAGACCACAGACGCTGGACTCGGGAGCCGGAGCCTGTGCGCTCTGATTCGCTGTTTTGATCCGTCAATCACCTCCCGCCGGCTTTTAATTTATTTTTATTTTTATTATTTTTGACAAAAAACAGCATACTAATTGTGTATTGTTTACCCTGTTTTGACAGAAGTATTTAACAACTATTTTAAATACAAAGCAAACAGGGTCATGCGCGTCATCAGTGTGGTTTTCGTCACTGAAGTGGACCCGAGCGTTTCTGTGCCTCACGCTGGGGAAGGAGACAGATTGCTCTCTTACAAAAGATTGACAGAATCAATGAATAAACTACTCTGGGCTTGTGTATGAACGCCAAATAGCATTGTAATCATGTTTAAAGCAGAGAAAAGTCAAAAACCGTGATATGGGCCCTTTAACACTAGGACTCTCAGGATTTGGTGGTTTCACTTTTAATAATTACAAAAACTGGTGAATATAACTTGAAATACAGAAAAAAGAAAATGCTAACTGTTGAAATGCTAAATGCTAACGGCTAGCAAGTTAGCAGCTTGTTGCCATGGTAACTAGGGCTTGCTCAACTTTACTTCTCTACTTGTTTTCTAAAATGTATACATAGTTTCATGAAAATAATGACAGAAATAAACGACATAAAGAAAATGAAGAAGCCACAAGTGTTTTAAGATTAAAAAAATGTACTAAAAGCCGTCAAAGTGACTGCTCTGGGAGTTCCAGTGTTAACGTGGCAAACAATAATCAGCTAATTAAATGTTCTTAAGCGTAAAAAGCCTTACTTGGAGGTGGCTACAAATGAAAACGGTTGTATATATTTATATGCAGTCTGATTTCGAAATATATAAAACAATCCAACTTTTAATGTTTTGTCCGGTTCTGTCTTTCTTCTTGTCTTATTTGTGAGTACAACATGAAATACAAGTAAAAGGTTTCAAATGGAGGAGATCTTTTGGGAATTGATGAAGTAAACGTCTTTAATTAAATCTTGTTCAATGAAAGTGCAAAGAAAGTGAAGTGTCAAAGGTCGCCTGAGACTGACCCCGGACAAAAGGCTCAGGGACAAAGGGAAGAAGAAGAGGATCAAGGAAAGGAAACGAGGAGACAAAAGAGGAGGAAGGAAGCAGCTTTTGTGTTCCGGGCCGTGACCAAGGCCCGAACCTGAACCAGGGACTGGACTGGGACTGAACCAGAGACAGGAACCAGGGACAGGACCTGGACTGGACCAGGATTGAACCAGGGACTAAACCAGGGACTGAACCAAGGGGCTGGACCTGGACTAAACTAGAGAATAAACCAGGACTGAACCAGGAACGGACCAAGACTGGATCAGGACTGGGCCAAGGACTGAACTAGGGACTGAACCAGGGACTGAACCAGGGACTAAACCAGGGACTGAACCAGGAACTGAACCAGGAACTGAACCAGGGACTGAACCAGGGACTGAACCAGGGACTGAACCAGGGACTGAACCAGGGACTGAACCAGGGACTGAACCTGGATAAACTAGAGAATAAACCAGGACTGAACCAGGAATGGACCGAGACTGGATCAGGACTGAACCAGGGACTGAACCCGGGGCTAAACCGTCACTGAACCAGAGCCACATTATGAACCGTCAGACTGGTGGTGGAGGTTTTAGATTTTTCCCCAGAGACTGGGCTCACTGGAGACTGGGATCAGGTTGTTGTGTCCTTTGGCAAGACACTTTCACCCACATTGCCCAATTTTAAATCAAGATCATAAAGTCTTCAGTGCAGGCTTCTCACAGAAACGGTGGATGAGGAAAAAATGACGCAATTATTTCCGTCCTCGCAACAGTTTAAATGGTTTTAAGTTATTCATATATTCAATTAACTTGTTTCAGCTCCAGAATCTCTACAAATGTCACCAAATCAAATCCCATCCAAGTCTAAAACTGGTCTGGGTTTAGTCCTGGTTTCTTATGGGTTTTGCCCGACTGAATACATATTTTGGTCCTGGTTTAGTCCTGGTTTAAGACAAGTTTAGTCATGCCTAGTTCCTAGTTTAGTTCCTGCTTTAATCCCTCCTTTAGTCCTAGTTTAGTCCTGATTTTGTCCTAGTTTAGTTCCTGCTTTAGTCCCTCCTTTAGTTCTAGTTTAATCCTTTCTTTAGTCCTAGTTTAGTCCCTCCTTTAGTCCTAGTTTAGTCCATCCTTTAGTCCTAGTTTAGTCCCTGCTTTAGTCCCTGCTTTAGTCATAGTTAAGTCCTACTTTAGTCCCTCCTTTAGTCCTGCTTTAGTCCTAGTTTAGTCCTGCTCTTGTCCCAGTTTAGTCCCTCCTTTAGTCCTGATTTTGTCCTAGTTTAGTTCCTGCTTTAGTCGCCCCTTTAGTCCTAGTTTAGTCCATCCTTAAGTCCTAGTTTAGTCCCTGCTTTAGTCCTTGCTTTAGTCCTAGTTTAGTCCTGATTTTGTCCTAGTTTAGTTCCTGCTTTAGTCCCTCCTTTAGTTCTAGTTTAGTCCTGCTCTTGTCCCAGTTTAGTCCCTCCTTTAGTCCTGATTTTGTCCTAGTTTAGTTCCTGCTTTAGTCGCCCCTTTAGTCCTAGTTTAGTCCATCCTTTAGTCCTAGTTTAGTCCCTGCTTTAGTCCTAGTTTAGTCCTGCTTTTGTCCTAGTTTAGTCCCTGGTTTAGTCCCTCCTATAGTCCTAGTTTAGTCCTTCCTTTAGTCCCTGCTTTAGTCGCTCCTTTGGTCCTAGTTTAGTCCTTTCTTTAGTCCTAGTTTAGTCCCCTATTTAGTCCCTCCTTTAGTCCTAGTTTAGTCCATCCTTTAGTCCTGCTTTAGTCCTGGTTGACTTGTCCCACTGCGCAGAGGGTGGTATCCTGCCTGAGTCTGTGTGGACCGGTTCTGGTCCAATGAAGCTAAAACCATTGTCAAATATTCAGATTTTAGTCCTGGTTTATTCCCGGTTTAAAAAACGATAAATAGTTAGTTTTGCATCACTGCGTTTTTGGAGGATCCGAGTGAGCGCTCCTGTGACTCTGCAAAGACAGGCCATGGCTCAGTGCGCACATTTACATTATTTATTTTACCATATTTCCACATTTTGGTGAAACTGATTAAACATTATTGCACTTGTCTCTTTGAATAGATGTTAGGCGGGCATAGGTTGAAGTATAATTTAATCTTTTTCCCAATAGGTCCAAGTTAAAATCCCATTATCAACAAGCTAAAAACTAAATTATTATGCATTTATGTAAATCTGAGCACTGATCCATGGCCTATCTTTGCAGAGTCACAGGAGCGCTCACTCGGATCCGAAATCCTCCCCCTACGCAGTGAGGTGAAACTGACCTCACGCCTCTGACTAAAGCAGGACTAAACAAGGACTACAGCGAGAGTAAACCAGAGACTACACCAGGAACAAAACCAGGACTAAACCAAAACTTGACAAGCCTAAATTAGGACTACAAGTAGGAGTAAACCAGGGACTAAACAAGGACTAAACCAGGGCTGAACCGAGACTAAAGCAGGACTAAACCAAAACTTTGCCAAGTCTAAATCAGGACTAAAAGTAAGAGGGACTACACCAGGGACTAAACAAGGACTAAATCTGGGCTGAACCGAGACTAAAGCAGGACTAAACCAAAACTTTTCCAAGTCTAAATCAGGACTAAAAGTAAGAGGGACTACACCAGGGACTAAACAAGGACTAAATCTGGGCTGAACCGAGACTAAACCAGGAATAAATCAAAACTTGATCAAGTCTAAATCAGGACTAAAAGTAGGACTAAACCAGGGTTGAACCGAGACTAAACCAGGACTAAGCCAAAACTTTGCCCAAGCCTAAATCAGGACTAAAAGTAAGAGGGACTACACCAGGGACTAAACAAGGACTAAACCAGGGCTGAACCAGGTCTAAAGTAGCACTAAAACAAATCCTTTACTTAGAGATTTTTATTATGATTATTATATCATATCTGTGCTATACATTTAAACAGTCTATCTTTCTGGATGTGGACACTTAGCATAACACCTTTCTTTTGTTACGACCTCTGACCCTAAGAAAAGTATGGTCACGGATCCACCAATTGAAAATATTCTCATACTCACACTTTTTGCCACTTTTTTATTTGCAAATTTGACTATTTCTTCCCCCATTTTTGCCTTTCACCTCCGGCTCTCCGCTTGAAAGCCCAGACATCGGACTTCCCTTTTGGCCTTTGCTCTTTGTGGACCAGTGACCTTCTGTCTAACATGAACCTGACCCGTCTTTACAAACGCACAGGAGCGCTCACTCGTGTCTGCAGCTCCGCCTCCTTCCCTTGCTCCACTAAACCATGATCCCCCATTGTGCGCCCATTCAACCCCAGCTTTTCTCAATCCCCCCCTCTCCCTCTCTCTCCCTAAAAAAGTCACAAATTCCCTTTATTATTATTATTATTTTTTGCGTGAAGTCAAAAAAACGTATTGTTCCCGTATCGCCGGTGTGTTTTAGTAAAGGCTCCGGCTAAAGATAAGTGATGCAAAGTTGCTGGAGGGGAAAAGCAAACGCATTGTCCGGAGTCAAGAAGGCAGGAACTTCTCTGCACCAGTGAGCCGTGCAGAGAAGGAGAAAGTGAATTTATCAACCAAATAATCAGATACAAAGAAATGCACAGACATAATTATAGAATCGCTCCAAATGTTCACCCCATAGAGCACCTTTCCTACACCAGGCAACACCACCCACATCACATCAGGCATGAAATATAGACATTAAAATCTACATTAATTATCAAAAGTACCATTAAAACCCCAAAGGGCATTAAAAAGACACAATGAGATCACAAGAACATTTAAAAACACACAAAATAAAATCACAAAAGTAATTAAAAACATTAAAATATTAAAATCACACATGGGATTGAAATTATAAATGGGGTTGAGAGATTCAAAAGTTGTAATTGAAAGCCGGGGTAATTTTTAGCATTTTTTGAGCAAATTAAAGCAAATTAGACTTAATAAAATACATGTCCTCTATAATTCACTGTCCTCTCGTTTTCATGTTTCTGTCAAAAAAAAAATGTATCTCAAAATTTGCCCTCTTAAAAACCCTGCGCATGAATCAGTAAAGAAGACAAAATCAAACAGTTTATTTTTGGACAAAATCGGGCCGTCACTTTTGGAGTTCGTGAGCTTGATATTGTAAAGATGCCATAATGAGTCTGTGTTTTATGTTTTAGTCCTTAATCCTGGATCAATGACTTTCAAAATGATACGAGTGGTTTCATTTGACTGTATTTTTCTGGTTGTAAACGGTCAAAGCTAATTACAAAGAAGCCGCACTGTGAGGAGAGTAGAAAAGGAGGACTTTTGAAAATAAATCTGCAATGGTGGCATTTTGCGCTGCACGTCTCGCTTCTCAAGCAACAAGGTTCTGGGTTCGTTTCCACCTCCTATTCTTTTAAGGTTTGAAATCTCACTGGGATTTTTCCTTTCGTCTCTTTTCTCGATTGCAAAGAAATGACCAGTCTCCCAATAATTGACCACGAAAATAGCTATTTTGCGATTGCTGTACTTTCTGGAGCGTAAGGAGCACCTGTAAATACCCACAGCACCATAATGTGAAGAGAACATGTGTTTTGTTCACATATAGGCTGCACCTGAATATAAGCCTCAGTTTTTTATGTCGTAATGTAGCAGATAGACGACTTTTTTTTTACTGGACACACCATGATTTTATGTATTTATTTATTCAAGGATAGCTCCAGGGGGTCCTTTATCACAGAATATAAATGACAAATAAATAAAATGGCTTAAATCAGCAATATAAAACAAAAACAAAAATTTGACAAGCGTGGCTCACACACACACATACTTCCACATATCTCAATCCGAAAACATGTCTTCAATTCCCCAGTCTATTTTGACCATAAAGTGTCCTATAGCTGTTTATATTAAGTCCATAACAACAGCACGAACATCCACATATTAGCCTCATCACGTTATAAGCCGCAGGGTAAAAAAAAAAAAATATCGAAAAAAAGCAGCGGCTTCTAGGTCAGAAACAACACTATTCAAACAGCCCTGGTGGCTTTACATTTTCCCCAAAACGGCATTAAAAAGTCCTTGCTTGGGTGTGTTCCGCAGACTGCTCGCTGACGTATCCGGTGGGGAAGCATGTGGTCCACGAGGTGATGGACGTCTCCTTCTCCCATCTCTCCTGCGAGGACCAGGCCGCCGTGGTCGTGCACTGGGCCCCAAGTCCGCTCGGTAAGACACACGGTTTTGTATTTTACAGCATGTAGCCAAATACATTATAACAATCTGGCTGTGAAATGGCCAGAGAAAGAAAGGAGTCGACGGGGGAAAGCAGGTTTTAGGCGTTTTAAATCAATAATACATGTTTTACTCTGAGATTTAGATCACATTTTGTCCCCGTTTTGTCCTGTTTTTCAGCCTTTTTCGTGCACAAACATATCGAGTGTCCTGTTTCAAAAGCAGGAGTGGTCTTTGAAAGGCCGGTTATTGTAACTTTAGCTGTGATGTGGATCAAAGCTGGTCCCGGTCCTGGTTTTAAGCTTCAGGGTGGAATATTTTTGTATTTAAGTTTAAGGAGGAAGAGAGACACACACACACACACACATAATTTTCCTATCACAAAATGCAGTATCTGGCCATTTTTTGCCCTGCACATTGGGACAGTACTCATTTAGCATACCAAGTTTACACATTTCTCATTTTTAAGCATTTAAACTATTATTATTATAACGGCACCTGGTGGTCACTCCTCTCTCTGAAGTTGGATCAAACCCGTGCAACATAAGCTTCACTTCTTTGAGCGTCCACACAAAGGTTCTTGGAGCCGTTGGGAATCTCAGTATTCTAGTTCATGTTATTGTGATATTGTTCTTATTTTTCCCCTGTCTTTAAATGAATGGGTCATGAACATCACAACACACATTTGGCAAAAGCTGCTACTAAAGCTGGGGTATGTTAAGTAAGTAAGTAAGCTTTATTTATATAGCGCCTTTCACAGACCAGAGTCACAAAGCGGTTTACAATTGTTATTTTTTGGGCACTTGTCCTCTCACTCCACACAGAGATGGGAGTGGGGTCGCCGAACAGGAGGCGCATGCCAGAGTGGTAGTTTTTAGTGGTAGGGGAAACCGGAGTACCCGGAGGAAACCTACGCAGACACGGGGAGAACATGCAAACTCCACTCAGAAAGGCCCTGGTCCGGCCGGGATTCGAACCCAGGACCTTCTTGCTGAGAGGCGAGAGTGCTATCCACTCAGCCACCGTGCCGCCCAAACCTTTAAACCTACTCCACTTTCAACCACAGCAAATTATAACTAATAATTCATCTCGTTCCTCGCTCTTGTTAAGAGAAGATAAGATAGACTTTATTGATCTCACACAGGAGAAATTTACATGTCACATCTGGCATGGATAGAAACACTCAAGAAAAAAAAAAAGTTCAAACATGTTAAATGCAGGATATATTATGTACAATAAAAGTGGCAATTAAGAAACAGTGGTAAAAAAAGAGGCCCACTCTGATTCAGCCAATCAGCATTCAGCCCAGCACGTCAAATAGTGACTATGGAGCAATCTAAAGAACAATATTCTTTGTTTAAAGCTGGGGTACCTTATTTCCAAACTACAAATTATTGAACTTTGCAATAAAATCAATCCAACTAGCTCTCAGTAGTTTTCACGTGGATGTCGTTTTAGCTTCTGTCACGTCTTTATATACTAATTTTCAGGCAGGAAAGTAAAACAATTAAAATGAACTACCACTCGTCCAGCCTAAAGTGTCAAAAAGTGACTTCTAAGGGTCTTTCTTACGTGTCTGCAGATGTTTTATACTAAGTTAAAGACGCCGTGTTGTGGTCGGATTGGTTCACAAAATGTTACTGTGGCTCTTTCTGTCGGAACAAACTAAAGTAATTATTTATTCTAAAGAAAGTTAGGTGCCCCAGCTTTAAGCCTGCAATACAAAACCAATGGCAATACATTTCACACTCTCGAAACAAGATATCTGGACTTCACTCTCCTTCTTCTTCTTCTTCTTCTTCTTCTTCTTCTTTTGTTCCACGGCTCATTAAGGTCCCATTAAACAACAACTCCTCATGGACATATGAGGAGAATTAAAACGTCAGGTCCACACTGCACAGCGGAGCACTTAAATTGGCACGACATCAGCCCCTTGTGGAGCTGAAAGTCCTGGACCTAGACCCTGGCACCGGTCCCAGATCCAGACTGAACCTGTTTCGAGTCGTAAACATGAAAAACATAGAGAGGAATCCGCCCCGGGACCCAAAACCTGCTCCACCGCTTCACTGCATAATCACTGCAAGATGAGACGGAGCAGAGAGACTAAACAGGACTGAGACTACGGACTGGCTTTAGACTTGGCTTTAGACTTGGCTTTGAATGCTGTTGTTTTAGTTTTAGTGTTTATCAAAAATGTGTGCGGGGAAAACAAGAGATTCTGTTCAGTATCGCCATATTATACGCACGCAATTAAATGAATGCAGTAGAGGAAAGTATTTTGGTATTTTATTACATAATTATCAGTTTTACTTTTGTGTTTTCTCTGATAATTTACATCTGAGGTTTATGTTCCTCCATTATTTGTGGTCAACAATCGCCCTGACTGGTCGCACGTCAACTTCAATGTGTCTCTTGTTTTTTATTATTATTTTATTATTATTGTTTTAACCAAATTGGTACATCTCTATAGACATCTCTCTCCTGTGTTTTTCAGGCATCGAGCAGATAAAAGGGTTCAGGGTTTATCTGGAGGACAAGAATCCGGAGAGAAAACAGTGTCAGCATCTGATCCTGAAAGAGCCACGGCAACTCAACTACTCACACAAGAGCACGGTGCGTCTGGATACTGACACAGCTGTTTTCTAACTTATCACGTCTTCCTGAAAATGTGAGACAGGCTTCTTCTCTGACAACGTTCAAATCCAGGTTATAGACAGTTCTGTTTAGCTGCAGACGACTGATTGTAGCCAATGATAGAAACGGTCACAAATATAGCAATCAATCACACACACGCATACGCACACACACACACACACACACACTGGGCGGCACGGTGGCTGAGTGGATAGCGCTTTCTCTTCTCAGCAAGAAGGTCCTGGATTCGATTCCCGGTCGGAACAGGGCCTTTCTGAGTGGAGTTTGCATGTTCTCCCCGTGTAATCCGGTTTCCCCTACCACTAAAACCACAAAAACACGTACAGATCTGGCAAGTGCTTCCTGTACTGGCCCCGCTCCCATCTCTGTGTAGAGCGAGAGACAAATTCCCACATTTGTAAACCGCTTTGTGACTCTGGTCTGTGAAAGGCGCTATATAGATAAAGATTACTTACTTACGAAGTGTCTTGCCCAAGGATATTGGTTTGATTCCTCTCAACCTGCGGGTCAGTTGGTGTCAAATTCTGAATTGAAAATCGATCCTTTTCCATTGTGTGTATTCATATATAAGAATCTTATTAAGATGTTTGTATGCATGCCTTTTTATATTTACTTTTTTACTTTTTTAGGCAAGAAACAGCAATTTTATATGGTACAGTTTATGCACAAGGCAACGAAACAAGAACCAATCATTTTTATGACTTGTTTGCACCATGAGCCAAAGAAAATTCTTAATTTGTGACTTCCTGTTACTCACCATAGCAATAAAAAGGGATTTAGATTCTGATTGGTCTAACTCTTCTCTCTCTTCTCACTATGACTGGTGTTGTTTATGCTCTTTAGAATAAGTCAGAATAAGTGAGAAATGTGACCCTTTAGAGCAGGTCAACTGGGTCCTCAAAGGGCTGTGTGGCTGGTCAATGTGAGATGTGTACAACGTGAACTCCTGTGCTTAGAAAAAAAGGTAATTGCAACATATTTTTGTGGTTAAAGTGGTAATTAAAAAGATGCAGGCTTTATGTAAGATTTTCATGTCAAGTCATCATTAAAGGGCCCTAATCTGTCAAAAGGCATTAATAAAACATGATATTTTCCGATACTTCTTTAACTGTTAACAGTAGTTCAGAGATATTTGAATTTAGAAATTAGTTTTACAGCCCCTAAATCTTGTTATTGTTTTCATTTTGATGTCCCGCCCTCAATCGTTTCACCAATCAGAAAGTCTGTGATCCGGGCGCCAGAGCTCTCCACGTCGATCTAATCTCATGTACCATGTGGCACAGAACTAAAAAATTTCTCGTTATGATTCTCGAATCATTAACGACAAAACAAAGAATAAAACCAGGATTTCTATCTTTTTTAAAAAGGTGTTGGTTATAGATTTGTCGTTATCAAAACTCTTGTCTATTCAGCTGTTATGGTCCCAGCTGGATTCGTCTGCATATCTGGCAACCTGAGTCAGGGAGATTGGGAGAGGCTGCAGTACCACTTATGGCCACATTTTTTACATACTGCTCCTTTAATCTTTTGCAGAAGTTGAGCAGCCAGCCGTTCTCCGGGCTGTTCTTCGACACCGACTACATGATCCGCGTGGTGCCCTTTCCGTCTCTGATGAACGAAAGCTTCTTCCCGCCATCTTTCCTTCGAACCAACTGTGAGTCTCCACGACGAAAAACGCAAAATCTGTTTTGCGATTCATGTGGGAGTTAGCATCATCCATTTATAAACAGACCATGTGATGAAAATGGAGAAATAGCCTACTCGTCTCTATCAAAGGAACCATACAAAAAACACATAAATAAATAAACAATGTTGTTTTTTTCAGCCTGTGAGGTGCTGCTGGGAGCCGACAGCCTCGTGTGCAAACCCTGTGAGTCAAAGTTCTATTCCCCTGTTCCATTATGTTTGCTAAATGAGGTCACATGTCTAAACGTCCCTCCTCTTCTTCATCCCCGTTCAGTCTGGAAGCCCAAGTCCCTGAACGTGTCTCAGTTCGGCTCTAACCTCCACGTGAGCTTCGACCCCGCTCCGTCCACCTTTCACCTGAGCATGTACCACCTTTTCTACAAACTCCGACAGGACGGGCCCTTTAAGACGCTGCGCTGCAAACCGGTACGGGGAAAAAAAACATACTCTCTGACTTTGTGCGTAGATAGATAGATACTTTATTGATCCCCGTTGGAGATATTCAGGATATATCTGAATCTGTATATAGTCGTAATTTTCAGAAATGTTATGGACATTTTCTACTTCACTTTTAATTTTAATGCGTTCCTAGTTTGTGATTTCCTGTTACTCACGATAGCAATAACAAAATAGTTCTGATTCGTTAAAATACCTGATTTTCATATCAACTGAAGTCTTGTGTGCTCCTGCTTGGTTGGAATGAATACCTGCAGCCACACCGGCCCGTTTTTACCCTTCATACTTGTTCGACCATACATCTTCACGTTCCTAAACATAAAATTACAATGTATAATATTGAAATATAATATTTCTTCTTTAAAGAGCGACTAAACACCTGTGCCCAGCCTGACTCCGCCCACATGAAGATTTGAAAAATTTCTCTCAAAAGGGCGTTGCCTGGAGGACCAAGGGACAAGAAGGGGGGCTTAGAGTTGGGCGTGGTCTGGGCTGTGATTGACAGCTCACTTGTCACACAAAGAAAAAACAGACAGTTGTCATTACTTTATTGTCTTAAAGCAATAGTTTACAGACCAGAAAGTCTCATTCCACCCTTGTTTACACACTAAGATAATTGTAAAGCTACACACCTGAACCTAATCACACTCAATAATCTCAGAATGACTCATGTAATTTAATTTTAATCCACTAGATGGCGCCAGAATACTCCAAACTGCAGCTGGGCGTGTGTGAGAGTTGAATGGGTTTATATCACTGGCTCTGACAGACTGACGTCACACAAAACAACTGATGTCATAGAGAACTTCAGAGTCAATGGAGAGGCCAGGACCAAATTAAAATGTAGTACCACCAAAAAGGTTGAGAGGGCGCCACACAGACGTTTTTTGGCTCAAAAGTGATATTTTATCTAATTTGAACTAAAATGTCAAAAAAATGACCAGGATATGTAGACAGCACTACAATAAACATATTTATGCAGTTTATGAGTTAAAAAAAGTTGATTTGGTGTTTAGTCGCTCTTTAAGAGTTAGCTCGAGTTAGCCACGTTAGCACAGGGGAATACTTCTTCTGCCGGACCATAGAAACGTTATTCTTAACTTTGTATTTTTTGCAGGAGACGAACCAGCCCAGAACCACATGCATCCTCCACAACGTCACTCCAGGAACCTACACCATAGAGGTACAACACAGATCTCACTCGGCTCACACTGTTTTGTGAAATGTTGGTGTCTTCACGCTCCTGGGTTTGCCTTTTCAGCTCAGAGACGACAACAACACAACCAGGAGACAGACGCAGTTCCACGTCAGTCAAGGTAACTATCAATGCAACCAACTATCAGTCTTCCCTGAGTACGGTGTAAAACCTGCAATTATGTTTATTTTTTGCTCTAGTCCATTCTCCGTGGGCCGGGCCGATCCGAGCCATGGCCATAACGGTGCCTCTCGTGGTCCTGTCCGCCTTCGCCACGCTCTTCACAGTGATGTGCCGCAAGAAACAACAAGGTTTGAGTCTAGAACTAAAGACCCGTTTGACTTTTCCAGCACTTGTCTCTAACTTGGATCTAATAGAATATCAGGAGAAGAAGCCAATGAGAAGAGGCCATTGACTTGAATGGACAGCCATCTTGGAAACCCAGGGCTTGGTCTCTAACTGTATATAGTGAATTATAGATTTAGATTTTTTCGAGCTTACACAGTTACAAGTGTGCCAAACATACGCACATTTTTTAAATCCGTGCTTACATCAACATATCCTTCTCTTACTGTTATTAGGATAGGCTACTGTGTCTCCAGTATATACTTAAAAAGGCCGGTAAAGTTCTGCAGCCTAAATTCTCAAGGGCTGCACTATAAATTCTCATTGACGAAAATGGCTCATTCTATTGTGATTTACCCACGTTCATTGAGCTAGAAATTGTGTATGAAGTGTGCCATACTTTAAAATCTTTACTTTCATCTTCATTACAAATACACTATCAACAACATCCTTCTATTGCCATAATTTGCACGACATGAGCGAGAATTGCCCTCTTTTCCATTATCCATATTCTGTGTTTGATGTCAAAGTGAATACAACTACACCCACATTCCTGAAAAGACAAAACACCGGTTTAAATGTGTCTAAACAGATTCTTGTATCTCTCCCACAGAAAACATTTACAGTCACCTGGACGAGGAGAGCAGCGAATCGTCCAATCAGAGTACAGCGGCCCTGATCTCGGAGCGCCCCTGGCCCCGCCCCAAAGTGTTCCTCTGCTACTCCAACCGGGACTGTCCCAAACACAGCAGCGTGGTGCAGGCCTTCGCTTACTTCCTGCAAGACTTCTGCGGATGTGAGGTACAGAGAAAAAACACACGAATATCTCAAACAGATTAAGGTGGTCTCAAGGAGGTTAAAAAGAGAGAGATATTTGAAAAGGATATGCAATTTGCAGCTATATACAATCCTCAACACGGGCTTTCTCTTTGTGTCCCTAAATGCCTCGTGTTGTGTTCAGGTGGTGCTGGATCTGTGGGAGCATTTGGACATGTGCAAAGAAGGACAGATGTCGTGGTTGAGCCGACAGCTGGACGAAGCAGACTTCATCATCACCATCTGCTCCAAAGGACTCCGGTAAGACTTAATAATAGTAATAATACATCAAAATTGTATAGCGCTTTTTTGGACACTCAAAGATGCTTCACATTGGGAGTAAAATACAATAATAAAAGGGGTTTACGGAAAAGCTTGTTTGAAAAGATGGGTTTTGAGTTCCTTACGACTTACGACTGAAAGAAGCAATATGTAAGATTTTCATGTCAAGTCGTCATTAAAGGGCCCTAATCTGTCAGAAGGCATTAATAAACATGCTCTTTTCCAACACTTCTTTAACTGATAAAAGTAGTTCAGAGATACTTGGATTTCAAAATGACTTTTCCTTGTTATTGTTTTCATTTCGATGTCCCGCCCTCCACCGCGTGGAGCTAATCTCACTGGTAAAGTACCATGTGGCGCAGAACTAAAAAAGGTCTCGTTATGATTCTCAAACAGTGTTGGGCACGTTACTTTGAAAAAGTAATTAGTTATAGTTACTAGTTACTTCTCCCAAAAAGTAACTGAGTTACTAACGGAGTTACTCCACTATAAAAGTAACTAGTTACCAGTAAAAGTAACTATTGCGTTACTTCTTCGTTTTGTTCTGGAACATAATGTGCACCCGACGTGCGCATTTTTACCTTTAACAGTGCCAATATTTCCATCTAGAAAAGGCTGTTTTGCTGCTGAAGTCCTGTTCACTCTTCATCTCTCTCTGTGCTGTAAGCACTAAACACCAACACCCGCCACTGTGAATGTGGAAACACCGGTGAAGCACTGACTTCAGCCCAATCAGATGAACATATACATCATATAAATCAAGTGGACAGTTTGTTTGGCTACAGCAGAAAATGTTTTATGCCCGCATTGTTTGTTCATACAAAACGCAAAACTAAGAGTTATGGGTCTTACCTTATAAATGACCTGCACAGTCCACTTCGCTTCAGACCAGTTCCATGTTTAAGTCCAGTTAATGGTTTGAGCGTAGATATGTAATCCTCCATTTGGAAATGAGTCCAATGAGTTTTAAAAAGTAAAACAAAACGCGTGTGTCCTCCATAAACTCCTGTGTTTTGCTGCAGCCGGCTGCATCCAATTTCTAAAATCAACCGTCTTACACTTCACCTCTCTTTCTTATCATTCCTATAGTAATTGAAAAATTACACTATGTGCATTTTAGATTATGTAAAAATGTGTTTATATGTATGTTAGCCAAACCTGTTGCTGTCCTTAGCAGATAAACCAGGAAGAGCAAGGAGCTTATCGATGGAATTGTATGCAGCCGACTTCTGCGCTCACATGAGCTCCTCTGAGGCCTCACGGTGATACAAGCCGTGGTTGAGCGCGATTAAGACCCATATTTGTTTCAAAAACACAATTTATGAGCCATCCTCTCAACTGTAGACATGTGGATTGTAAAGGAAATATGTTTTACATCAGCCAATAATTGCTGAGAGGTTTTCTCATCCTCCCTTCTCTCATGACAACACGTTCATTGTGCGTCTTGAGTAACGCGCAGTAACGGGATGTCGGAAATGATAACGGCGTTATAGTTACTGTCAAAGTAATTAGTTAGATTACTCGTTACTGAAAAAAGTAACGGCGTTAGTAACGCCGTTACTAGTAACGGCGTCATTCCCATCACTGTTCTCAAATCATTAACGACAAAACAAGGAATGAAACCAGGATTTCTATCTTTGTGAGAAAGGTGTTGGTTATAGATTTGTTGTTGACTAAACTCTTGTTCGTCTCCATATCTGGCAACCTGAGTCAGGGAGAGTGGTATTTGTACATACTGCTCCTTTAAAAAATTAATATGTCCTGTTTGATTTTAGCATAGCCTGAATGCTCTTATTTCTATTTCTATTCTGCTGAAATGTGTGAAACTAAGACGTTGAAATTTCTCCTCTGAGGGACGAAAAAAAGGTTTATCTTATCTAATATTATAATTGTCAAATAAGTAAGCGTTCCAAATGTCGTGCAGTTACTTCGTGGAGAGGAAAAGTCGCCGCGGGAAGACACCGGTCGGACGCCGCGGCAACAGCAGCAAAGATGGCGGGTCGGCCGGCGGCAGCGAACATCCCGCCTCTAAGGACAGCGGACCGACCGGCAGCAATGGGAGCGACTTCTTCCTGGTTGCCGTGGCGATGATCGCGGAGCAGCTGCGATTGGCCAAACAGAGCGACAAGGAGCTGAGTCGCTTCATGGCGGTTTACTTTGACTATTCCACAGAGAACGACATCCCCACCGCGCTCAGTCTGGCTCCAAGGTGAGCGCCGTGAACACAGATGAATACTCATTAAAAAGGTATTATATTAGATGGACCCCTGTGGACCAATGGCTCCTATGTGTGTTTAAGTTTGAACCTTGATTCTCTGATTTGTTGTTGGCAAATTGTGACCTTGTAAAGTCTGAACTAGAAAAAATAATTGAATTGAAATAGATTAGACACAAAATCAACTCAATCAATTAACTTTTATGTGTATAGCTCCTTTCCTACACAAGGCAACACAAAGCGCCTCACAACTCATCAATGATCAAGCAAATCATAAACATCAAAATATTCATAAACATAAAAAACACATCAAATATTAAAAACAGAATAAAATCACAAGCAATTAAAAACCTTAAAAAATTAAAAACACACACGGGATTAAAACAATAAATAACCACAATGCATTAAAAAGAGAATACAAACTCCTTCAGTTGTTTACACAGCTGAACACAACTGTCTTACATTTACATTGAACCTTTAAATTGTATAAAATGGTATTCAGTTTGTGAGATAATGGCTTTGATGTTTTGTCCCTTCCGTTCGCCTGGTTCTCTCACTGGGTTAATCAAGTCATTACTAAGACATAAGATCAACTTTTGTTTCCAGAATCATCCACAGTGTGACACATGTCGCTCCAAAGCACTGATTACTGATGCAATCCACCTGTCTGGTTTATATAGAAACAGTAAAAACAGTATAAACTTTATGAATTAGACATTACGTATTTTTGTACCTGCTTTTTATTGATTAAATGTCCAATGCTGAGTTTGTTATTGAATGAATAAACGCTGAAATTCACCTAAAAACTGACAACCCAAATGAGAGACTCGTTATAGTCTGATCTGCTTGAAAAACATATAACGGCGGCCAAAATAAGAATAACTTCAAACTTTTATTCGGAAAAATCTACATTTCATTTGTATATGTTACTATTATCTTGGCACACATTTTGAAGATGTAGATGTAGTCTGAAATGAAAATATTTCTGGTCCTTTGATGGAATAGGAATGCCGTTTTTTTCTCTCTCTTGGAAACATGTTTGTAGATTTCGGGGATAGACATAAATTGAATGTTGAAAGTGAATTAGGAGCTTTATCTGCCTTGGTTTTCAGTGTAAATAGTAAAATCTTCAGCTGATTTGTCGTGCAGTTTTCCCAGAGCATGATAAAAGCAGACCACAGACACCATGGACCTCTTTTAAAAACCATGTGGCGTGGTTTTGTTGCAGGCTGAAGCTGATGGACCAGTTGCCGCAGCTCTTCTCCCGTCTGCACTCTTCTCAGTCCTCGCTGTGGGACGGAGCGCCCTCTAACGTCTCGCGCCGGAACTACTTCAGGAGCAAGTCTGGCCGCTCGCTCTACGTCTCCATCTGCAACATGCACCAGTTCATCTCCCAGAGCCCAGACTGGTTTGACCAACAGCTGCACCCTCAGACCGCCCCCCCGGCCCCCTGTGAGGCCACCGTGTCGCCCTTACGCCTGAACGAGGTCGCCGTGAAGACCCTGGACTCGGTGCCCAACAGGAACCTGGTCTTGTTGGCGGCAGGATCCGGAGCGGGGTCAGTCACCAGCTCCAGTCTGAGTCCGAGTTATAGTCCTGGTTATGAGCCTCGCTGTTCCCAGTCCCTGCCACGAGAGTCCTCCTCCTCCTCCAGGTAAACACAGTATTGCAGTCAATAATAATAATAATAATAATAATAATAATAATAATATTGCATTGGTTTTATATAGTGCTTTTTAGGACACGCTTCACACGTCATCATTCTATCACTCTATAAGCACTAATTAAGCACTAATTAGCATTTGTATGATAGATGATTAACTGGTATTTATTAAAATTTCGCTTTCATATTTGTCCAAACACTTCACATGTTATTATTCTCTCATACACGGTCGTGATAAACTACTACTGAAGCCACAGCTGCCCTGGGGCACACTGACGGAAGTGAGGCCACCAGTCTGTGTCATCGGCCCCTCAGACCAGCTGGGGTACCTAAGTTATGATGAAATCCATCTGTAACACTTTAGTTTAGCCCCTAATAATCTAATTCATGCTTAATTAGCTGTTAATTAAGTGCTTAGTAGATAGACACTTTATTGATCCCCGTAGGAGAAATTCACATCCATCCATCATTCTAAAAAGCTAACAATAGTAGTAGTAGTAAAATGCTAAAGCACTTCAGGTCACAGCAGCAGAGTAATTAGTATTAGTATAATTGATGATTAATTAGCTCTTAATTGGTATTTATTAAGATAAGATAAGAAACACTGTATCTTTAGCACTTATTAGTTCATATTCTACGTGGTCTTAATCAACATCTAACTAACTACTAACTAAATAACGAGAAGAACTAGTCGGTAAGTTTGTATTAGAGTTCAATGTTTAGTGGTTTGAAAGTTAGGTACCCCAGCTTTAACGAACGATAAGTACATTTGTATGAATTTTGTTTGGTTCATATGTTGCCTCTTTGGCTTCACACTTGTTCTTTGCTTCAGGTGCAGCAGCTCGCTCTCCGCCCCCTCCTCTTCCTCCTCCTCCTCTTCCTCTACCGCTCTCTCATCCGTGAACGTCCCGTGTGTGAAAGCTCCTCCCCCCGTGGAGCAGCTCAGACCGGTCCAGCTCCAGGACCAGGACCAGGGGAGTGTCGTGGAGCCCCCTGAGCCTCCCCCGCGGGACTCTGGGATCTACGAGTCGTCCGTGCCGTCGTCGGAGCTCTCCATCCCCCTCATGGACGGGCTGTCACATGACCACGTAGACTCCTCCTCATTGGCCGACAGCGAGTCCTCCTCCTCTGGACTCGGTACGGACGTTATTTGTTGAATATTTTGGGTTCGGTGTGACCATAAAGTAGAGAGACACAGATTTTTTGCAATTGTGATCAAAATGTGCTCTTCATATCAGAATAATAACACCATATAATTAAACGTATTCTAACATGTAAACAAAACACAGGTAGGACCAATCTCACAGGGCAAACATTTCATAAAGACTGTTTCTAGATTTTAGCTTCATGAATCTGAAACGCTGCCTCCCCATGTTTCGTCCTGACTCTGGGACCAGCAGGAGGCCAGTCCCTGTGCTCCTCAGAGTCCCAGCAGGAGGCCGGTCCCTGTGCTCCTCAGAGTCCCAGCAGGAGGCCGGTCCCTGTGCTCCTCAGAGTCCCAGCAGGAGGCCGGTCCCTGTGCTCCTCAGAGTCCCAGCAGGAGGCCAGTCCCTGTGCTCCTCAGAGTCCCAGCAGGAGGCCGGTCCCTGTGCTCCTCAGAGTCCCAGCAGGAGGCCGGTCCCTGTGCTCCTCAGTCCCAGCAGGAGGCCGGTCCCTGTGCTCCTCAGTCCCAGCAGGAGGCCGGTCCCTGTGCTCCTCAGAGTCCCAGCAGGAGGCCAGTCCCTGTGCTCCTCAGTCCCAGCAGGAGGCCAGTCCCTGTGCTCCTCAGAGTCCCAGCAGGAGGCCAGTCCCTGTGCTCCTCAGAGTCCCAGCAGGAGGCCGGTCCCTGTGCTCCTCAGAGTCCCAGCAGGAGACCGGTCCCTGTGCTCCTCAGAGTCCCAGCAGGAGGCCGGTCCCTGTGCTCCTCAGAGTCCCAGCAGGAGGCCAGTCCCTGTGCTCCTCAAAGTCCCAGCAGGAGGCCGGTCCCTGTGCTCCTCAGAGTCCCAGCAGGAGAATTTTATTCAGAAAAATGTACCAGAATATAAGAACTCAGTATTTGTAATGTAAACATTTATTATAATTAAACCACTTTTTTCCTTAGTACCTGATCAAAATCTGTTTGCTCACCTCCTGAAATAGAAATATATCAGGGGTGTTAAGGAAGTTTCTACCCAATGAAGGAGAAAACTCAAAAGGTCTTTGTCTTATCAAAAGCGTAAGTTTATTATATACACACGTGTGGAGAGTCAGCACATACAGACACGAAGGCAGCATGTACTAGCTCTGAAGCAGAGCTCCGAGTTTCCTGTATACAGACACACACGAAAGACAGTCCCGCCCACAACAGAATGGGAGGGGGGCCACCGGTGAGGAGGCGCCTGGGGAGCGTTGGCGCCGTCTGGGGATGTAGGTGCGAACAGACAGACAATGGTAGAAAATGCAGGTCATACAGATGCAGACGCGAAAGACACAAGGGTGTGACGAGAAGCAGGATGTAGAAAATGCACACATACAGACCGATAGATATGCAAGAGGCGAAAGGGGGGCGAGAGTGAGACAGTGATTTACGCCATTGTCTGTAGGTGTCGGGGGACCCGGTTCCTTCCTGAAGCAGGGACATATGAATAGAACCAGGCAGAGTTGCTCCTTCCTGGAGCAGGGAGATATGAATACTAGTCGCTTGCCATCACACTCCTTTCCCGTGATAATGTAAAAACCCCAGTTTTACAGAGATCACATTCAGGTGGGTGAGTATTGACCTTGGCCCCTGAGTAAAAGAAGAGTTGTTGATGGGCAGGTTACGCCGCCGTCACCCAAGCCTCTTGTATTACGGGGGTGTGGTCAAAGCTCTTCGCTGTGATCCCTCCCCCTAAATTGTGGGCGGAACAAGTGGAAAAATAAAAACAAAGTAAACAAGAAAGAAAAACGTTAGACAAAGTCGTCGTCCGAATCGCTGATATAATCAGGATCGGAGTTCAGTGGGGCCGCGGCCAGGTCCGCCTCAGGGTCTCTGTGTTGAATGGACACAAAGTGAGTGGATATCATTTTACCAACGGTCCGAAACACCACAGGTAATACACATGAAAATAAAATCATAACAGTCAATAGGGCTAAACCAAGATTAATGAGCACACTTCGCCAGGAGGACAGGAGCCAGTCCAGACCGTGAGGAGTGTCCGTGACATTGTCCGCTTGCATGGCGTCCCGGAGTCTAGTCAGATTGGCTATGCCCTGTTGGATAAGACCTCCGTCCTCATCGTTGGCCGGAATATATGTACAGCAGGACGACCCAATGATCGTGCATACGCCTCCCACAGACGCGGTCAGGTGGTCCAGGACCAGCCGGTCCTGAAGAACAACGGCACGCAGGTCGTGAAGTTCAACTCTCTGTGATTCAAGTATGGCCACTGTGGTATTGACAAAACCTGAGAACCTATAGCTCAGGGTCTCCGTCCTTAGCATTAGTTTACCTACACCCAGGCTGGGGAATAATGCTAACATTATTTTCTGGCCTGTGGTCCATAATTTGTGGTCATCGGGTACATTAGTGCCCCACAGGGGGTCGTGTGGTGTGTAGAGTTCTCTCTTGTCTCGGTGTTGGGCCTTAGGGAGTGTGGAGATGATGTATGAATGGTCGGCAGGAAGGGCGGCCGCACAGCGTCCCTCCCATTTTGTGGGCAGACAGTCATACATGCGATATCCGCACAGATACATGTGAGACTCTACGGGCCGCGTTCCTAAAATGTCTGGTACCGTATAGTACGGGACACACACGCTTCCCGGGGCTGCCTGGGAATCGTTAAGTTTGCTGCTGTTGGCCATGTATGTGCAGGGGCTATATACAATAGAGCAGAACTCAAGTGGGATATTTCCCACATGAATGGGCTCTTTCGGGAGAGTAAGACTGGTGTTGGCCCGAGACCAGGAGTGGGTGTAGCATATAAATTTGGAGCCAGGTTTGATGTGCACTGGGCCGAAGATTGGCTCTTCCCCTGGGTGGCTGCCGGATTTGAGACGCAGCTCTCCCTGGGCAAGGGGCTTGAGTTTTGGGGGCACCGCAAAAAACATTGCTGGAGCCCTGGGATCGGACATTGAAACCAGGGTGTGAGGGATGATTTTGGAAATATTTGGCACCGGTAAGGGGATTATGTGGGGGTTAGCGGCGGCTATAGGAAGGTGGGTGCATACGTAGCAATTGGATCTATTGTGGCTATCTGCGACGTATTTTGCATACTGATACCAAAGGTTGAGTGAATAAACTGTAGAATGTTTGTAGGATTTACTCAAGGCCTCCAACCAAGCAGTGTCGTCGGGAGCAAGGCTGCGTGTAATGCGTGTCATGGCTTGAATCACAGGGTTTTGAGTTTCAGAGGAAGACAATATTACCATAATAAACACAGTCATCACGGAAAGTAGTGTCAGTGTGGCCAGCATAACAGTCCAAGGGCCCATGCCGGTCTTAGGCGGGCTACATTCGGTAGTCTTTTCCGCGGGAATACTCACGAACAGTGCCGCCTTGCAGTCAGTGGCACCGCTCCCTATGAGGGTGTGTGGAGCGTTAGTGGTCATGGCGATGTTTGGTCTTGGAGCGGCAAGACTCTATTTGCGTTGAAGCCTTGGCCTCAGCACTCGGTTGGGCAGAGTGCTCGGGGTTTGGGGTGTGGCCTTGGGGTCCGGGGGCTGGGGAGTTGGGCAAAGGGGGGTTGCCTCGGCAACGCTGGGATTCTCTGGGTGTTGTTGTTGGCCTGCTTCACCGATGGTGGCCGCACGCCGGCCGACCTCTTCAGCGTAGGGAGCCGCGGATGGGCCTGGTCCGTCCGCGCCCTCGGTGTCCTCGTCTATGGCCCTCAGTGGCAGCACCGCACGACAGTGGTTGGCGTGGATCCACGTTGTCCTCTCCGCGACCTTAACGGCAGTGTCCGTCACCAGGAGGACGAGGAATGGGCCGAGCCAGCGCTTGGACCGCCAATGCTTTCGTCTCGTTTCCTTCACCAGGACCCAGTCGCCTGGCTTGATCCTGTGCAGAGCCGCCTGCGCAGCCTGTGGCAGGGCGCTCCTGACCTGGGCAGAAATAGAGGACAAAAGTGCATTAATTTCCTTACAATAGGACAGCATGTCGTCATCACACAAAGAGGTGCTTGGCAGATCTCTGGTCGGGGGTCCCGCGCCCAAGTTGGGTGGTCTGGCGAAGAGGATTTCGAATGGGCTTAGGTTTGACCTTGACCTGACTCTCATGCGCATGTACATGAGGGCTAGCGGCAGAGCTTTGATCCAAGACAGGTCTGTCTGTTCGCAGATTTTAACAAGTTTGTTTTTCAGAGTGCCATTCTCTCGCTCGCACGCGCCTCCGCTCCAGGGGGCGTAACTGCAATGTTTACGTATATCAATGCCCAGAAATTCACCTACTTCCTCAATGACTTTTGCTACAAAGTGACTGCCATTGTCACTAGAGATTTTTTCCGGGACACCCCATCGTGGTACAATTTCTGTGAGCAGAGCTTTCACCACCGCATTGCTCGTGGCGTGTTTACATGCAAATACTTCAGTCCATTTGGACCAGAGATCGACAAGAACCAGACAGTATTTCTTACCTTGGCATGGTGTGAGTTCAACAAAGTCCATTTGGACATGTTGAAATGGGCGCAGGGGCGGGGGATGAGCAGCCTGTTGGATAATTTGAGACTTACCTGGGTTGTGCGCGAGGCAGATAGCGCATGTTTGGCAGAATCTCTGTGCAAATGCCGTAAACCCCTTTGTATACCAATTTTGTGTGATTAAATCACACATCCCTCCTTTCGAAGCATGGTCTCGGCCATGTGCTAAAATTGCAAAATGTCTGAAGAAATGCCGTGGTAAGCACGGTTTGCTGTCTGGTCCCAGCCACACACCATGCCGTCGTTGCGCCCCATTTCCTTCCCACAGCACTGTCTCTGCTGGAGTTGCCAGCGCCTGCATTGCTGACAGAGAGGAGAAAATATCAACGTCTTGAGTGAGGTAGTGTGTGTGTGTGTGTGTAGAGGTGCGTATGCCGCTGCCTTCGCTGCTTTGTCCGCGCGCCGATTCCCTGCAGAGATGGGATCAGTGGCATTAGTGTGGGCCTGGCATTTGCGTACATCGATCTCTAAGGGCAACATTACCGCTTTCAGCAGACGTTCAACCTGTGTGGAATTAAGAATTG